CAGGGTTTCGCCATTTTGGCCAGGCTAGTCTTGAACTCCTGGCTTCAAGTGATCCTTCTGCCTTGGCCTCCCAAAGTGCTGGGATTATAGGCATGAGCCACTGCACCTGGCCAATTTCCATTATATATTGTTGAAAAGGCAAAAGGCAGCATTTACTGTATGAATCCCATTTATATAAGATTGTATGCATATATATATATATTTATTATTATTATAATTATTTTAGGCAAAGTCTTGCCCTATTGCCCAGGCTGGAGGGCAGTGGCACAATCTCGGCTCACTGCAACCTCTGCCTCGTGGGTTCAAGCAATTCTGCCTCAGCCTTCTGAGTGGCTGGGATTACAGGCAGCCACCGCACCTGGCTAATTTTTGTATTTTTAGTAGAGACGGGGTTTCACCGTGTTGGCCAGGCTGGTCTTGAACTCCTGACCTCAGGTGATCCGCCTGCCTTAGCCTTCCAAAGTGCTGGGATTACAGGCTTGAGCCACCAAATATACATTGTATCTGTAGGTATATTTATGCATGTTTTAGGATATCCTTCCTTCCTTCCTTCCTTCCTTCCTTCCTTCCTTCCTTCCTTCCTTCCTTCCTTCCTTCCTTCCTTCTTTCCTCCCTCCCTCCCTCCATATTTTTTCCTTCCTTCCTCCCTCTCTCCTTTCCTTCCTTCCTTCCTTTTAGAGTCAGGGTCTCACTCTGTCACTCAGGCTGGAGTGCAGTGGCATGATCATAGCTCATTGCAAGCTCGAAATCCTGGCTTCAAGTGATTCTCCCACCTTGGCCTCCAGAGTAGCATAGAACTGCAGGTGCATACCACCATGCCCAGTTAATTTTTTTTTTTTTTTTTTTGTAGAGAAGGGTCTTCCCATGTTGCCCAGGTCTCAAACTCCTGGTCTCAAGCAATCCTGTGGCCTCAGCCTCCCAAAGTGCTGGTATTACAGGTGTGAGCCACTGCGTCTGGTCCTTTCTTTTTTAAATCAACTTTTTTTTGTTTGTTTGAGACAGAGTTTCACTCTTGTTGCCCAGGCTGGAGTGCAGTGGCGCGATCTCAGCTCACTGAAACCTCTGCCTCTCAGGTTCAAGCGATTCTCCTGCCTCAGCCTCCCGAGTAGCTGGGATTACAGGCATGTGCCACAATGCCAGGCTAATTTTGTATTTGTAGTAGAGATGGGGTTTCTCCATGTTGGCCAGGCTGGTCTTGAACTCCTGACCTCAGGTGATCCGCCCACCTTGGCCTCCCAAAGTGTTGGGATTACAGGCGTGAGGCACTGCACCCAGCAATCAACCTTTTAATTTTAGAATAATTTTAGATTGCAGAAAAGTTGCTGAGATAGTGGAGAGTTCCCATGTGCCCTTTACCCAATTTTGTTAACATCTTACATTAACCATGATACACTTGTGAGAATTAAGAAATTAACATTGAGGTATTACTGTTAACTAAACTACAGACATTATTCAGATTTTACCAGTTTTCCCACTAATGTGCTTTTCTTTACAGGATTCTATCCAGGATACCATATTGCATTGAGTTGTTATGTCTCCTTAGTCTCTTCTGATCTGTAACAGTTTCTGAGTCCTTTCTTGCTTTTCCTAACCTTGACAGCTTTGAAGAGTACTGGTCAGGTATTTTGTAGAAGGCTCTTTAATTCGGTTTCTCTGATGCTTTCCCCATGATTAGAGTAGGGTTGTGGGTTTTTGAAAAGGATATTACAGGGGTAAAGTGTCCTCATCACATCATTTCGTGTGGGGGTGTCCATGATATTAACATGACATTGCAGGTGATGTTCACCTTGATCACTTGGTCAATGCATTGTCTGCCAAGTTTCTCCACTGTAAAGTTATTAATTTCCCCTTTCCATACTGTGTTCTTTTTTTTTTTCTTCTGAGACGGAGTCTTGCTTTGTCGCCCAGGCTACAGTGCAGTGGCACTCGGCTCACCACAACCTCCACCTCCTGGGTTCAAGCGATTCTCCTGCCTCAGCCTCCTGAGTAGCTGGGATTACAGGTGCATGCCACCATGCCTGGCTAATTTTTAGGAGAGACAGCGTTTCACCATGTTGGTCAGGCTGGTCTCGAACTCCTGACCTCATGATCCATCCGCCTCAGCCTCCCAAAGTGCTAGGATTACAGGTGTGAGCCACTGCGCCCGGCCTCCATACTGTATTCTTTGGAAGCAAGTTAGTAAGTCCAGCCCACACTAAGGTGGAGATGAATTAATCTTCACTTCCTAGTGAAGGTTTTATATATATGCATATATATATAAAAGTTGGCATCTTCTGTAAGGAAGATTTGTTCCTTCTCTATTTATGTATTTATTCTATTATTTATTTATATTAGTATGAACATATGTATACTTAGTTGATACTTTTGGTTATAATCTAGTACTGTTATTTTGCTGCTCAAATATTTCCAGCGTTGGCCATTGGGAGCTCTTTCAGGTTGGCTTCTCTGTTCCTTGAACTGTTTTTATTCTCTCTCTGTCTCTTTTTTTTTTTTTTTTGCCACTTTCTATATTTTGGTATATTGCTTTAATTTTCTGCATTAGCATGATTAGAAAATCTTAATGATTAGAACATTAGAGGAACATAGAGGCATAGATGGTTATTTTCACCTTAATATTGTGGAAAAATGACCTGGCAACTACTTTGATGGTTTACCAACTGATTTCTGGTTGTTTCTCAACTGCCTTGCAAGGCAAGTAAGACAGCAAAGAATTACTTCTCACACAAATTAAACTTCAGTAGATATCTGAGAGCGGTAGGTAAAATGATAGCGATTGGAATAAACTTCAATAGTTTTCAAGTGTTGTTAGGTTCACTTAAAAAAAATTTCCAGGCCCAGTGCAGTGGCTCACACCTGGAATTCTAGCACTTTGGGAGGCCGAGGCGGGCGGATCACTTGAGGTCAGGAGTTCAAAACTGGGCAGGCCAATTGTACTAAAAATACAAAAAAATTAGCCGGGCATGGTGGCAGACACCTGTAATCCCAGCTACCTGGAAGCTGAGGCAGGAGAATCGCTTGAACGTGGGAGGCGGAGGCTGCAGTGGGCTGAGATTGTGCCATTCAACCTGCGCCACAGAGTGAGATCCTATCTCAAAAAAAGAAAAAAAAAATGTCCAGAAGAGAAGTTTGCATTAAATCATTCAGTAACACCGATTGCACACCTTTGTAGTAGGCATTGGGAAGGTGGGGGAAAAAAAGAGGGTGGTAGGTTGGGGTGGGGGCATGAGTTAGGAGGTAAGATGATGGCAAGTATGCTTTTGAGTAATGAACTTCTGTACAATACCAATTACCTAGGGGAGTGGTAGATCTTAAAGACAAAGATTAATTGATTGATTTTGTTTTCTTCTCAAATTCCTTTTACCAAAAGACACAGATAATAAAACAATATTTATATTTGAGAGGTGGTGATGGTTGTGGTCAAAAGGACCAGCTGAAAGACATAATGTCCAAGCAAGGTGAGGGAAAGCTCTGGGGGCAGGCTGTAATAACCATAACAGCAAACACTTACTATGAACCAGGCACTATTTATCAACAGTTTATCAACCCATTAAAAGCTTATTACAGCCGGGCGCAGCAGCTCATGCCTGTAATCCCAGCACTTTAGGAGGCTGAGGTGGGCAGTCACCTGAGGCCAGGAGTTCCAGACCAGCCTGGCCAACATGGTGAATTAGCAGGGTGTGGTGGTGTGCGCCTGTAATCTCAGCCAAGCAAGAGGCTGAGGGGGGAGAATCACTTGAACCCAGGAGGCGGAGGTTGGTTGCAATGAGCCGAGATCGCGCCATTGAGCTCCAGCTTGGGCGACACAGTGAGACTGTCTCAAAAAAACAAAAAACAGTCTGGGAGCGGGGGCTCACGCCTGTAATCCCAGCACTTTGGGAGGCCGATGTGGGCGGATCACCTGAGATACGGAGTTCGAGACCAGCCTGACCAACATGGAGAAACTCCGTCTTTACTAAAAACACAAAATTAGCCAGACGTGGTGGCGCATGCCTGTAATCCCAGCTACTCGGGAGGCTGAGGCAGGACAATTGCTTGAACGCAGGAGGCAGAGGTTGCGGTGAGCTGAGTTCGCGCCATTGCACTCTAGCTTGGGCAACAAGAGAGAAACTCCGTCTCAAAAACAAAAAGAAACAAAAACAAAACAAAAACCGTATTACAATCCTGTGAACTAGCTACTGTCATTACTATAATGTAGATGAACAAACTGGGACATGGACAGTTGACAAGACATCCCCAACCACACACTAGAAATGAGCTGGGATAGGAAATCAGACACTCTGACTCTATTACTCCAAATGCCATACATACAAGCTGACTTCCGAAAAAAGAGAAAGTACTGTTCGCACAATACTAACTGGTTCTACGGCCACTGTTTCCTTGCATTTCTTTTTTCCTTCTTGTTAGGAACACGTATCTTTGAAGGAGGTATCATTTCTCCCACAGTTCTCCATTTAACGTTTCCTCGAGTGCAAGCACCACCGAGGCCACACAGAGCCCCAGAGTAGAAGTAATTTGCTTCCTAGAAACCCTCATTGTATCCAGATTCCCTCCCAGAGGAGCCATCAGTTCTCATGGGTGGCACTTTTTTCTCCAGCTGATTACACTTTTTTTCTGTATCAGTTAATTTTTCCAACTTCTAATTGAATAAAGGCAGTTTTCTTAAAAAAAAAAAAAAAAAGCGAAAAACGGAAAGGAAGGAAGAGGAAAGAAAGGAAGGAAGAAATGAAGGAAGTAAGGAAAGAAACGAGAGGGACAGAAAGAGAAAAAGGAAAGAGAGAAAGAAAGGAAAGGAAAACAAGAAATGGAAGGGACCTGCAGAAACGATTCACCACGCACGGCTGACCCTGGGAGGAGCCACAGGTTGAACGAACGCCTCCCAGGCTGGACGCCCGCTGCGAACACCGCAAACAGTCCCACCCCGGGCGGCTACAGCGACTCTTCTGAATTCCGGAAAGAACCTTTTCCAGCGGGACCGGAAGCCCGGCGGGGACCGTAGCGGGGACGGACTGACTTACCGACCATTCTTCCGGGTGCGGAAGGTGAGCTCCACCCGTGCTCAGAATCCAGGGGCCCGGGACAGTAGGTAGGAGTTAAGTGGGTAGGGTCCCTTAACCAGGGTTGTCCGGTGTGGGTGGTGTGTGTTGTTTCGCCTAACGTGTCAGTGGCACAAATCACGCGAACTCATAAACATTGTGCGTTCGGAAGGCTTTTCAAGATGCCTTTAATCCCTGCGTAAGCCCACGTTAAGCATTCACGAAGGCATGTGCTCTGTTCTCTCGGAAGCGGCCGGCCGGCTTCCCCTCCTCGGGCGCCGCTGCGGGCGCAGGTCCTCAAGTCCCAGCCTCCCATGGGCCCAAGGCCTTCTGGGCTCCAATTTGAGGCGAAGCCACCCCAGTTTCGTAATTTTTCTGCAGTGATTTATTTTTACCTTTCAGGTAAGTTCGAAAGCTTCCAGCTCACTTTCAGATATTTCCACTAACGTAACTACGTATTTGCAACATACTTTTTTCAGATTCCTTGACAAGAATATCCTAGTGACCAAACACCACCTTACTGGGAGTCAGAACGTCTGGGTTCTAGTCTTGACTGCCATTAACTAGCGGTATGACACTGGAGACGCCTTTTTGACCACTATGGATTTACGTTTCCTTTTCTGTAAAATGAGGAGCTTGGAATAAGTGACAAATTTCCTTCCAGTTTTGACATTTGGGTTATTGCCTCCAATATGTCTTTCCAGTTTCTGCCTCAATTACATATCTGTGCTTTGGTTAATATCTTGTAGTGTCCTTCCTCCCATTCCCTTAATCTGTGCTCTTCTCGAATCTGGTTTCATACTCGTTTAAAAATTATTTTCTCAAGGAATCCTGTGTTTCCCGAGCACTCTACTTTTGGTCCAGGGGCACAACCGTAAGTATGTGCCATTCTTAAAAGTATTTAATGTGTGTAAATACTATTGAATGAATTTCCAAATTTTTTTTTTTTTCCTTTGGACAGAGTCTCACTCTGTCGCCCAGGCTGGAGTGCAGTGGCGCGATCTCGGCTCACTGCAATCTGCCTCCTGGGTTCAAGCGATTCTCCTGCCTCTGTCTCCCAAGTCGCTGAGATTACAGGCGCCCACCACCACGCCCGGCTAATTTTTGTACTTTTAGTAGAGATGGGGTTTCACCACGTTGGCCAGGCTCTTGAACTCATGACCTCAGGTGATCCGCCCGCCTCGGCCTCCCAAAGTGCTAGGATTACAGGCATGAGCCACCACGCCCGGCCTGAATTTCTAAATCTTAATGTGTTTATTTCGTTGGCATTAAGTCACATTTTTCCTTGATCTTTACTTGAGTAAGCCTTTTAAGGTAAAATGCTTGCCCGATTACACACACATACATAACCTCTTAATTGTCCGAAGGTAAACAAGTTAATGACTTGTGAATATTTTTAACTTATAAGCAATGAATCCTCAAAGCTTATAAGCCAATACTGAAACGTGTGATATGGTTTTAAAATAGCTGATGATAAAGTCTTTACATCATCCCATTTTGTCCTCATAGTCTTGTAATAGGAAGGACAGATATTCAAACACTTATTTATTTATTTATTTATTAACAGAGATCCAGAAAATGAGGCCCATAGGAAACAAGTGACTTGCTGAGTCCAGATAACACTTACTATCAGAGTGAGTGTCCAGCTAAGTTTCCTTTGTTGCCCAATAAGATAATTTCTTCACTATACTGTGCTTGTTTCAGTTACCATTTATTTTCTTTCTTTTAAAAAGTATTCAATATAGGCCAGGCGCGGTGGCTCACGCCTGTAATCTCAGCACTTTGGGAGGCCAAGGTGGGTGGATCACCTGAGGTCAGGAGTTCAAGACCAGCCTGACCAACATGGTGAAACCCTGTCTCTACTAAAAATACAAAAAAATTAGCCGGCTGTGCTGGCAGGCGCCTGTAATCCCAGCTACTTGGGAGGCTGAGGCAGGAGCATCCCTTGAACCCAGGAGGTGGAGGTTGCAGTGAGCCGAGATTGCGCCATTGCACTCCAGCCTGGGTGACGAGCAAAACTCCATCTCAAAAAAAAAATTTCAGTATATTCTATTTACCATGTCAGAACCATAAATTTACTATGTTAGAACCATAAAATACACTTTGGGAAGATTGGTTGAAATGTAACATTTAGGCTAGGCATGGTGGCTCACACCTGTAATCCCAGCATTTTGGGAGGCTGAGGCAGGTGGATCACCTGAGGTCAGGAGTTTGAGACTAGCCTGGCTAACACGGTAAAACCTGGCATCCACTAAAAATACAAAAATTAGCTGGACACAGTGGCGCACACCTGTAGTTCAAGCTACTTGGGAGGCTAAGGCTGGAGAATCGCTTCAACCCGGGAGTCAGAGGTTGCAGTGGGCTGAGATCACACCACTGAACTCCAGCATGGGCAACAGAGGGAGACTCCATCTCAAAAAAAAAAAAAAAGAAAGAAAGAAATGTAACATTTAATGTCTAGTTATCTAGCAAAGATCACCCGTCCAGAGCCTTGATTTCTTTGGTCACATCAAATAACTATTATCATTTGTGAACAATTTTAAAGAATATCTAGTAGAAAATATAAATATATAATATATATGTTGTATATAAATATAAAATATAAGCATACTGTAGAAATGCCATATTATAAGAGAAACCATTTAAAAAAAATTTTTTTTTTGAGGCAGAGTCACGCTCTGTCTCCCAGGCTGGAGTACAGTGGTGCAATCTCGGCTCACTGCAACCTCTGTCTCCCAGGTTCAAGCGATTCTCCTGCCTCAGCCTCCCGAGTAGCTGGGACTACAGGCATGTGCCACCACGTCCAGGTAATTTTTTTGAATTTTTAACAGAGATGGGGTTTCACCACATCAGTCAGCCTGGTGTCGAACTCCTGACCTCAAATGACCTGCCTGCCTTGGTCACCCTGGTCCACCCTGGTCTCCCAAAGTGCTGAGATTACAGGCATGAGCCACTGTGCCTGGCCAAAAATTTTAAAACTTTGTAAAAGTTTATAATTTTGTTCAAGATAGCTTTATATGTATTTTTATTAGAGACAGGGTTTCACCACGTTGGCCAGGCAGTCTCAAACTCCTGATGTCAGGTGATCTGCCCACGTTGGCCTCCCAAAGTGCTGGAATTACAGGTATGAGCCACCATACCCGGCCGGAAAACGTGTTCTTTTTACATTGTTTTTGTCGTTCCTGCCCCTAAAAACTGAAAAGCAAAGCCATAGAAATGCAGTCTTGAGAGCAGAGGCAGTAGAGGCCACTGGGAGGAAAAGAACTATTACTAATGAGTTCTGTTACAGTTTTCTCTCAAAAAACTCTTCTTTCATTCTAAGAATAATAACTCAAAAGGCATTATTCAATAAATATTGGGTGTCTTCTTCCTACTATAAAGCATCTTTTTTTAGGGGGTGAGATGGGAAGATGGAAAAGTGTTAAGAATTGAAAGACAGTTCCAACTAGATGAAGTGTGTGCAAAGTTTCAGAGATGAGATGACAAGCCATCAGAGATTATAGGTGGGTTATAATAACAAAAGCTTGAGAGGTAGGAGTGTAGAGACTCTAAGAGTGTAAGAAATAAAGTAAGGCTGGGCATGGTGGCTCATGCCTGTAATCCCAGCACTTTGGGAGACCAGGGTGGATCACTGGATCCCAGGAGTTTGAGACCAGCCTAGACAACATGGTGAAACACCATCTATACCAAAAAAACAAACAAAAAATTATCTGGGCATAGTGGTGGGCACCTCTAGTCCCAGCTATTAGGGAGGCTGAGGTGAGAGGATCACCTAAGCCTAGGAGGTCGAGGCTGCAATGAGCTGTGACCACATCAGTGCATTCCAGCCTCCAGCTTGGACAATATAGTGAGACCCAGTTTCAAAAAAGAAGTTTCAGGGTGTTTAACAGAAAGGTGATCATTTCAAATTTGTACTTTAGAAAAATTACTCTAGTTGTGATTTGGTTAGTTGATATTTCGAGAGTGAAAAAAGTGCCTTTTACAAGTTGTTATTGTATTTCAATTCTATCATAGTAGTAACATTAACAGTAATAATAATAGCTAGTATCTAGAGAGTACTTGGTATGGAATCCCATCTCTTGATGAGACTGAGTTTTTTCAGGGCAGGAACCCAGTTTTACTCGTTGTTGTAAGTCTAGTGAGTTAAGTGTAGCCCAGTGCTATGCATCTAGTAAATATCCAATTAATATTTGCTAACTTGATTTGAATATTATTTTAAAACCTTTTTTTTTTTCCTAGGAGAAACATGAACCAGAAGCTATTGAAATTGGAGAACTTGCTACGATTTCACACTATTTATAGGCAACTGCACAGTCTGTGTCAAAGAAGAGCATTAAGACAGTGGAGCCATGGGTTTTCATCTGCGTACCCTGTGTGGACAGCTCAGCTGTATGCCTGGCCCTGGCCAACAGAAATGCTCACTGGGGCTGCTTTATCTCAGTATAGGTTTCTAGTAACAAAAAAGGTAGTTACAGTTTTTTTTTTTTTTTTTTTTTTGAGACGGAGTCTCAACCTGTCACCCAGGCTGGAGTGCACAGGTGCGATCTCGGCTCACTGCAACCTACGCCTCCTGGGTTTAAGTGGTTCTCCTGCCTCAGCCTCCTGAGTAGCTGGGATTACAGGCATGAGCCACCGTGCCCGGCATAGTTACAGATTTCTGTAAGTTATTTTATTATTTGATCTAAAATGAAAGTGCCTAGAACCATGAGTAGAAATCCATTTTGAGTATTTTATCATTTACAGAATATTTATTACTTAATGCTATATTCCAAGCAATAGCGCTTTGTGAGAAAGGGAAGTTCTGGTTAATTGTGTGGTGCTGATGAATTTGGTTCCTTGGGAATCAGTGTACAACAGTGAATTAAGGATGTAGGAATTTAATTTTAGCCTAAGTTTTAACTACTTATGGGAGTGTTTGTTGGTAGAAATAGTAGCTATGGTCAGACACAGTGGCTCACGCCTGTAATCCTAGCACTTCGGGAGGCCAAGGTAAGCAGATCACAAGGTCAAGAGTTTGAGACCAGCCTGGCCAACATGGTGAAACCCTGTCTCTACTAAAAATACAAAAATTAGCCAGGCATGGTGGCGCATGCCTGTAGTCCCAGCTACTCAGGAGGCTGAGGCAGGAGAATCGCTTGAACCTGAGAGTTGTAGGTTGCAGTGAGCCGAGACCACACCATGCATTCCAGCCTGGGCAACAGAGTGAGAGACTCCATCTCAAAAAAAAACCAAAAAACAAAAAAAATACAAAAACTAGTTGGGCATGGTGGTGCACACCGGTAATCCCAGCTACTGGGGAGGCTGAGGCAGGAGAATGGCTTGAACCCAGGAGGTGGAGGTTGTAGTGAGCTGAGATCGGATGAGATCTGGATGACAGAGCAAGACTCTGTCTCAAAAAAAAGAAATAGTAGCTATGATTGTGGTAGATATTTCAGAATAAATCTAAATTGTCACTTAAGTTTTTTCTTCCTTTTTGTTTATATGTTCTGATTTTTTTAATAGGAAGAAAGACCACAGAAATCTCAGTTATCTTCAACAAAATCTAAAAAGGTGGTAGAAGTATGGATTGGAATGACTGTTGAGGAACTGGCCAGGGCAATGGAAAAAAACACAGGTGAGTCAGATATTTTTACAAAGCAAAATATGGGAATGTTGGAAGACCAGGCATTTTATTTGCAATGAGATTAAGGCATTTAAAGATTAAAAACTAGACTGGCACTTAAAAAATATATTAAGTCGGCCGGGCACGGTGGCTCACGCCTGTAATCCCAGCACTTTGGGAGGCCGAGACGGGCGGATCACGAGGTCAGGAGATCGAGACCATCCTGGCTAACACGGTGAAACCCCGTCTCTACTAAAAAAATACAAAAAACTAGCCGGGCGAGGTGGCGGGCGCCTATAGTCCCAGCTACTTGGGAGGCTGAGGCAGGAGAATGGCGTGAACCCGGGAGGCGGAGCTTGCAGTGAGCTGAGATCCGGCCACCGCACTCCAGCCTGGGTGACAGAGCGAGACTCCGTCTCAAAAAAAAAAAAAAAAAAAAATACATATATATATATAAAGTCATCGTAATATTCTTCATTTTAAGTCATAATCCCTAGTTTCTTGACTCTGCCAAATGTAGTTCTCTAAGATTTTGCTTTTAATTAAAGTGGAAAAGATTTTCTTGTATGAATTAATTTTTGTTTCTTGGAAGTTTTGTGGGCTATTAGAATAAATCCAAAGAATGTTTTTAGACTGAGGGTCTATACTTATATACTTTCTCTTTGTTTTTCTATAATTTTCTATATCTTCTTCCTTTTTTTTTTTTTTTCAGTTTTTTTTTGAGAAAGGGTCTTGCTTTGTCCAGTATAGTGGCACAATCATGGCTCACTGCTGCAGCCTTGGCCTCCTGGGCCCAAACAGTCCTTCAGCCTCAGCCTCCTGAGTAGCTGGGACTACAGGCATGTGCCACTATGCCCAGCTAATTTTTTATTTTTTGTAGAGACAGAGTCTTACTATGTTGTCTAGCCTGGTCTTGAACTCCTGGGTGCAAGTAATCCTTCTGCCTCAGCTTCCCAAAGTGCTGGGATTATAGGTATGAGCCACCATGTCTGGCCCTATAATTTTCTGGTTTCCTTTTTTTCACTCATTATTATTATTATTATTATTATTTTATGAGATAGAGTTTCACTCTTGTCACCCAGGATGGAGTGCAGTGGCACAATCTTGGCTCGCTGCAACCTCCGCCTCCCAGATTCAAGTGATTCTACTGCCTCAGCCTCCTGAGGAGCTGGGATTATAGGTGCCCACAACCATGCCTGGCTAATTTTTGTATTTTTAGTAGTACAGCGTTTCACCATGTTGGCCAGGCTGGTCTCAAATTCCTGACCTCAAGTGATCCGCCAGCCTCGGCCTCCCAAAGTGATGGGATTACAGGCGTGAACTCCCACGCCCAGCCTTTTCACTCATTTTGACAATATGAGAAATACTGATAGTAGCCAGGCACGGTGGCTCACGCCTATAATCCCAGCACTTTGGGAGGCTGAGGCGGGCGGATCACTAGGTCAGGAGATCGAGACCATCCTGGCTAACACAGTGAAACCCCGTCTCTACTAAAAATACCAAAAAAATAAGCCAGGCATAGTGGCAGGCGCCTGTAGTCCCAGCTACTCGGGAGGCTGAGGCAGGAGAATGGCGTGAACCCAGGAGGCGGAGCTTGCAGTGAGCCGAGATCGCACCACTGCACTCCAGCCAGGGCGACAGAGTGAGAATCTGTCTTTAAAAAATATATATACTGATAATAATAACTACAATTTGTCATAATATTATTTTTATTTATAAATGGAGCATATTATTGCCATTTTTATATTCCTTCATTGTGATGTGCTTATTACCAGTTTAGGATTTTTGAAACAAAATTTGAGTTTTCATTATAAAGTGACATTAAAATTCAGTATATGAGAAATATACCCTGTTATTGTAACAAAGTGTAACAGACTCTTGGGGAAAAAAAGAATTAATAGTAACTCATATATGTTAAGCCATTAATATGTACCAGTACTTTTTTAACTCTTGTACTTCTTCTCACAATGCCCTAAAGTTAGGTATCCTTATTTACAGGCTGGGAAAGTGAGGTTTAGAGAGGATAAGTAATTACCCACTCTTTCCAGCTAGTTGTGGGAGAACCAGGATTTGAACCTCGGAAATATGGGGAATATTTGATCTTATGAATTATGGCTCCAGAGCACATGCTGTTACTCATCAACCAAATTATCTCTCAAGAATTATTTTGTAAATCACAGCAATGCTAAACTTCAATGTATTTCCTGCCTGAACGTGTTACTACTTTTTGTGCATGTACATCCTTACAAAGAGTACAAAATTGTTAGCACACTGTTTGGCTTTTTTTTTTTTTTTTTTTTTTTTTGAGACAGAGTTTCGCTCTTGTTAGCCAGGCTAGAGTGCAATGGCGCGATCTCGGCTCATCACAACCTCTGCCTCCTGGGTTCAAGCAGTTCTCCTGTCTCAGCCTCCCGAGTAGCTGAGATTACAGGCGTGCACCACCACGCCTGACTAATTTTGTGTTTGTAGTAGAGATGAAGTTTCTGTATGTTGATCAGACTGGTCTTGAACTCCCGACCTCAGGTGATCCGCCCGCCTCGGCTTCCCAAAGTACTGGGATTACAGGCGTGAGCCACCGTGCCTGGCCTGTTTGGCATTTTTAATAATTTTGCAGATGGATTATTCAGTCATTTTACAGCTAGAAAACTATGAAAATAAATGAATATGGCTATATCATTCAGAATTTTTTCTACAGAAAATTGTATTGGTGTGGTTTTATAAATAGTATGGATGATAGGCTTGATTTTTAGAACTTTTTTTTTGAGGCACAGTCTTGCTGTGTCACTCAGGCTGGAGTCCAGTGGCAGGATCTTGGCTCACTGCAACTTCTGACTCCCCGGTTCAAGTGATTCTTGTGCCTGAGCCTCCCAAGTAGCTGGGATTACAGGCATATGCCACCACACCCAGCTAATATTTGTATTTTTAGTAGAGACAGAGTTTCATTATGTGGGCCAGGCTGGTCTCAAACTCCTGACCTCAAGTGATCTGCACACCTTAGCCTTCCAAATGCTAGGATTACAGGGATGAGCCACTGTGCCTGGCAAAACTTTTTATTATTAGCAATTATCAGACAAATATGGTAGCAGAAAGAATGGAAAAAGCTTAAATTTATGCATAAGTCAGTGACAACAGATATTTTATTTTATCCATTAGTACTTCAGTATATATCTCTAAAAGATGAGTACTCCTTTTTTTTTTTTTTTTTTCAAACATTACCCCCTACCCCTATACACATAGAGGAACCCATAACCATAATTCTTTAGTATGACTAATAAATAGAATGATTAAAATACAAATTTAGTCTCATGGAGCAGTACTCTAAACCCCAAACTGATTGTTTATGATGAAAATAAAGGGTGTCTATTTGAAGCTTATTTCATATTCAAATCTCTTCTGAATTAAAGATAGTTTTCATGAGGTGATTCTTTTTAACTACTATATATATTAGCGATATGAGTACTTTTTTTCCCTCTTCTCCTGGGTAATTTAAGTAGCTTGATGTAATATTTAATGTTGCAATATGTTGGATACTTTTCTACATGTAAATATTTAAGTCTTTGGTAAAAATAAAATAGTATGTTAATACCATATGCATTTAATACAGAGGGGAAATGATTATCTCTTTATGTAAGCTACTTCCCAAAAGTTCGATATAATGTATTGGAAAACTAGAGTATTAGGTATTTTTAGCATTATTAGAAATAGAATTGTACTCATATATATGTGTGTGTATATATATATATATTTTTTTTTTTTTTGAGACGGAGTCTCACTGTGTCTCCCAGGCTGGAGTGCAGTGGCGTGATCTCGGCTCACTGCAAGCTCCGCCTCCCGGGTTCACGCCATTCTCCCGCCTCAGCCTCCCAAGTAGCTGGGACTACAGGCGCCCGCCACCACGCCCTGCTAGTTTTTTGTATTTTTAGTAGAGACGGGGTTTCACCATGTTAGCCAGGATGGTCTCGATCTCCTGACCTCGTGATCCACCCGCCTCAGCCTCCCAAAGTGCTGGGATTACAGGCTTGAGCCACCGCGCCCGGCCTGTATATATATATTTTTTTGAACAGAGTTTCACTCTTGTTGTGCAGGCTGGAATGCAATGGCGTGATCTTGGCTTACTGCAACCTCCACCTCTCAGGTTCAAGAAATTCTCCTGTCTCAGCCTTGCGAGTAGCTGGGATTACAGATGCCTAACATGCCTGGCTAAGTTTTTTTTTTGAGACGGAGTCTTGCTCTCTTACCCAGTCTGGAGTGCAGCGGTAACGATCTCAGCTCACTGCAACTTCTGTCTCCCAGGTTCAAGCGATTCTCCTGCCTCAGCTTCCTAAGTAGCTGGGACTACAGGCATGCGCCACCACGCCTGGCTAATTTCTGTATTTTTAGTAGAGACGAGGTTTCAGCATGTTGGCCTGGCTGGTCTCTAACTCCTGACCTCAGGTGATCCGCCCACCTTAGCCTCCCAAAGTGCTGGGATTACAGGCGTGAGCCACTGCCCAGCCTCCTTGCTAATTTTTGTGTTTTAAGTAGAGATGGGATTTCACCATGTTGGTCAGGCTGGTCTCAAACTCCTGACCTCAGCTGATCCACCCACCTCAGCTTCCCAAAGTGGTGGGATTACAGGTGTGAGCCACCATGCCCAGCCAACTAATAATTTTTGTTTTGAAATAGTTTTACAGTTCTCTGAGAGCATATTCACATAGTAAATTTGAGTTGTATCATTCTTAAAATGTGTTTCCTTGGGAAAGCATGTGGTAGAAAGATAAATAGGAAATGGTTTCTTGGCATTATTGGTTGTTAAACACAACCATTTTAAAAAATTAAGTCATAAAGGTAGTAAAAACTCAAAAACTCTTTTACTGGCTGGGTGTGGTGGCTCATGTCTATAATCCCAGCACTTTCAGAGGCTGAGGCAAACATATCGCTTGAGCCCAAGAGTTTGAGATCAGCCTGGGCAACATGGTGAAGCCTCATCTTTACAAAAGAAATACAAAAATTAGCTGGGTATGGTGACGCAAGCCTCTAGTTCCTGCTTTTGAGGAGGCTGAGGTGGGAGGATTGCCTGGGAGGCAGAGGTTGCAGTGAGCCGAGATTGTGCCGCTGCATTCCAGCCAGGGCGACAGAGTGAGACCCTGCCTCAAAAAACCCCAAACAAACAAACAAACAAAACCAACTCTTCACTTCCCAATTATTTTATTGCATTTTACAATTATTTGTGTTCTCAAGGTTATTTATGCCTATCATATCTGTATGGTAGAAAGACTATATAGTAGTCTACTACTGTGCATCTCTTCCCAACTCTGTATTCAGTGACTTTATGTTGGTAGCTTGTAATCAACCATGGTGGGCATATTTGCACCATGGAAATTGGGGAATGCTGTAAATTAGAGGTTTATTTTTGACAGCATAGTTATTAAACATTTGCCAGCACACCAGTGAATAGGATGTTCTTTTAGTGTAATGTTCTGCTTATCTGAGGATGGCTTTCTTCCTTTTTTTTTTCTTGAGACGGGGTCTCACTCTTGCCCAGACTGGAGCGCAGTGGCTCAGTCTTGGCTCACTACAACCTCCGCCTCCTGGGTTCAAGAGATTCTCCTGCTTTAACCTCTGGAGCAGCTGGGATTACAGGTGTGTGCCACCATGCCCAGCTAATTTTTTGTATTTTTAATGGAGATGGGGTTTCACCATGTTGGGCAGGCTGGTTTTGAACTCCTGATCTCAGGTGATCTGCCCACCTCGGCCTCCCAAAGTGCTGGGATTACAGGCTTGAGCCACCACGCCCGGCTTTAAATATATTTTTATAGGGTGACTACAAGTCTGGAACATAAAACTACTTGTTTCATTATCATCACAGATACATTTGTTTATCATCCACAGGGAAACATGACTGAGATTAAAACAAAGCACATTAAATAAAATGAAAAAGAGAATAGGTAAATATTTTTCCTATATTTCAAGAGTTTTTGGGTTAGGTGCAGTAACACCTGTAATTCCAGAACTTTGGGAGGCCAAGGTGGGAGAATTGCTTGACCAGGAGTTCAAAACCAACCTGGGCAACATGGCAAGACCCCTTCTCTACAAAAAATTAGTAGGATGTGGTGGTGGCACCTGTGGTTCCAGCTACAATGGAGACCGAGGCAGGAGGGTTGCTTGAGCCTGGGAATTTGAGGCTACAGCAGTGAGTTAGGATTGTGCCACTGTACTCTAGCCTGGACGACAGTGCAAGACCCTATCTCAAAAAAAAGTTTTTTGTTTTTTTTTGTTTCTTTTTTTGTGATGGAGTCTCACTCTGTCACCCAGGCTGGAGTGCAGTGGCACATTCTTGGCTCACTGCAACATCTGTCTCCCGGGTTCAAGCGATTCTCCTGCCCCAACTTCCCATGTAGCTGGGACTACAGGCGCTGCCACCATGCCTGGCTAATTTTTGTATTTTTAGTAGAAATGGGGTTTCACTATATTGGCCAGGCTGGTCTTGAACTCCTGACCTCATGATCTGCCCGCCTCGGCCTCCCAAAGTGCTGGGATTACAGGCATGAGCCACCATGCCTGGCCAAAAAATTTTTTAAATAAAAAATAAAGACTTTTTGGACACCCTAGATACATAAACAGGTAAATGAATTGAGGATACATGTATTCAGAGAGAGAGATATATATATATATAGTGTGTGTGTCTGTACGTACTGTCAGTTCTCATTATGCGTGGATTATTTATTTTAGGTGTGGATTCTGTATTTGAAAATTCACCTACTCAACAAAATGTATTTGCAGCTCAAAAATCAGTACTTGCTGGGTGCAGTGGCTCACGCCTGTGATCCCAGCACTTTGGGAGGCCCAGACAGGCAGATTATCTGAGGTCAGGAATTTGAGACCAGCCTAACCAACATGGTGAAACCCTGTCTACTAAAAATACAAAAATTAGCCAGGGATGGTGGCATGCACTTGTAGTCTCAGCTACTTAGGAGGCTGAGGCAGAAGAATTGTTTGAACCTGGGAAGCAGAGGCTACAGCTAGCTGAGATTGCCCCACTGCACTTCAGCCTGGGTGACAACAGCAAAACTCTGTCCCAGAAAGAAAAAAAAAAAATCAGTACTCAGGTTCTCTTGCAGTTATTATTGGACATGTGCAGAACAGTGAAAAATGTGAGTTGTGCATTTTGCATGTTCTGAAGCTGAGGTTGAATGAGGTGACACTCTGTTTCAGCTGTTGTACTGCAAACAAGTGTCCTTTTTGTATTCTATTTAGTGCCACATTTTTTTTCACATTTTTATACTTTTTGTTGGTAATTTTGCTGTTTAAAATGGCTCCTAAATGTGGTACTGAAGTCCTATCTAGTGTTCCTAAGCTCAAGAAGGCTGTGATATGCCTTACAGAGAAAATATGCATCTCAAATAAGCTTGTTCCAGCATGAGTTATAGTGCAATTGGCCATGAGTTCAATGTTAATGAATCAAATATATATATAGTATCTTTAAACAGAAATGCATAAAACAAAATTATGTATTGATCAGTTAATGAAATGTCACTGAAGGCTTGCAGGAACCCAACTGTGTAGTTCCCCTCAGAACAGTGGTTCAATATTTGCTAATTCAATAGTTTTGGTGACTTTATAGAACATAATTATTGCAAATAATGGGAATTGATTGTATACACACACACATTCATATATACATGACATTTGTGACTAATTTTTAGAGAAGTAGACTACAGTCAATTATTATAAATACTAAATCTATCTTAACATTTTACTGATGATTCAGATGGCTTAGAATACATAAATTCAAATATTTATGAATATGCAGAAAAGTCAGTAAATAGAAATGTATCATATTTTGAATAATTTAAAAACATTTTTTAGCTTCCTTGTGATTTATTAATTAGAGAACCAGTTTGCATAGTTATTCCTCTCATTGAGTGTATTATTCATATAAACATTTATTAATAGAGATTACTTTCTTGAGCATTTGATTAATGATCCTAAAAGGTTTTATTTTATTCCAACCAGATTATATATATGAAGCTTTATTGAACACTGCTATTGACATAGATTCACTGGAAGCAGACTCACATTTAGATGACGTCTGGATCAAGGAAGTGATAATGAAGGCAGGGATGAAGTTAAAGTGGAGTAAATTGAAACAGGACAAAGTCAAAAAAAATAAAGATGCTGTAAGAAGGTAAAACTTAACTGTATAGACTGGTGGGGTTTGGGAGAGACTACATAGTTATATTCACACTTTTTAATGGAAAGATTTGCTTTAAAATTTCTTTTGTAATAAAGATACGTGTGTATAAACTTTTCTTTAAAGTACTTAAAGCATTAGAAAGTATATTAATACATTCAAGTTATTATAAAACTGTAAGGTTTTTTTTAATTTGCTGAATGTATACATTGGTCTGAATTTTCAGATTTGATTAATTCTCATTCTTATGAAAATGTAAACCACAGGTAGGTAGGCAGTTATGAAATAGTCTGTCATAAGTCATTATATGTATAAGAAGGGGAAATAGGCCTAATCCACACTGAATATTGGGTTTTATTGTTAATGGTAGCTCACAGGGATAAATGTGAACCAATTCACAGGCTATAAAGTATTTCTGATATTTAAGAAATGAAACTCTTCTGCTGTTAATCGTAGGCCCCAGGCAGATCCAGCTTTATTAACCCCAAGGTCCCCGATTGTTACTATAATGGGCCATGTTGATCACGGGAAAACGACATTACTTGACAAACTTCGAAAAACTCAAGTGGCAGCAATGGAAGTTGGAGGCATCACTCAGCACATTGGTGCCTTTCTTGGTATGAACACAAATTACCTTACAATGTGCTTGGGAACCCCACTTACTATTTTCTTAAACCAGATGTCATAGTGTGAAGTATACAAATTCAAAGTAAAAGAGAAGGCTAAAGCTTACAGTCGTTGGTTTGATGAAATGTAGAGCAAGTGATTAGTAAAGCTATTTTTTAACTTTCTATGAGAAGAAAATTGTTTTTTTTTTTGAGACAGAGTATTACTCTGTCACCCAGGCTGGAGTGCAGTGGTGCAATCTTGGCTCACTGCAACCTCTGCCTTCCCGGTTCAAGCAGTGCTCCTGCCTCAGCCTCCCAAGTAGCTGGGACTACAGGTGTGCACCACTGTGCCTGGCTGATTTTTGTAGTTTTAGTTGAGGCAGGGTTTCCCCATGTTGGCCAGGCTGGTCTCAAACTCCTGACCTTGTGATCGCCCGTCTCGGCCTCCCAAAGTGTTGGGATTACAGATGTGAACCATCCTGCCTGGCCTAATTTTTTTGTATTTTTAGTAGAGACAGGGTTTTGCCATGTTGGCCAGGCTGGTGTCGAACCCTTAACCTCAAGTGATCTGCCCATCTTGACCTCCCAAAGTGCTAGGATTACAGGTGTGAGCCACTGCACCTGCCTGAAAATTGTGTTAACTTCTAATTCTAGCTCATTCTTAGTTTGATTTAATGAGCCTACAATTTTTTGTTAATTAATTATGTTTATATAACCTCCTTTGCTAGGTTGTGATAATGTTGCTGATAATAATTAAATAATAGTCCCAATTATGAGCACCTAGCATGTGTCCAGAACTATGCTAAGCACCTTATATGTTTTGTCTTTTTTATCTTACAACAACATCATAAGGTAGGTATTAATAGTTGCACTTACAAATAAGGAAGCTGATACTTCTTAGAGTTAAGTAACTTTCCCACAGTATATAGCCTGTAAGTAGCATAGCCAGGATTTAAACCCAAGGTCACTGGACTCAAATCCTGAGCTACTGCCTACTAAATCGCCTTTCTGTGGCTCAGGGGGTTGTGCAATTCTGATTTGCTAATGTAAGGGTGGCTCCCTGTACAACAGTTGGTCTGTTCTATCTCTAAAATAGATTTATCATTGATACATTTATGAAAGTAGTTATGTTCTAGAAATATGGAGACTTTAGTTTAAAATTTTTATGTGGAAAAAAACCCATAAAAGTTTCACTGGCATTTTATCACTTTGCATTGTGAAATTATTATGATCTGTGTTCTGATTAAGATTAATGGAAGGAATAAAATTATTTTAAAGAATTATTGATGGTTTCAGATAATGTCACATATATTCTTTGGTATTAAGGAAGTACATGTTTGAGTCCTTGATGTTCTTGAATTTCTGTTTCCACAGTTTCTCTGCCTTCTGGGGAAAAGATAACTTTTCTTGATACTCCAGGACATGCTGCTTTCTCAGCAATGAGAGCCAGAGGGGCTCAGGTCACTGACATTGTCATCTTGGTTGTAGCTGCAGATGATGGGGTGATGAAACAAACTGTAGAATCTATTCAGCATGCCAAAGATGCACAAGGTACTGTGTGGCTGACTTAATGGATGTACTACATAAAGTCAAAGTTCTGGGGCCATTTACATATAGCTCATTTAGTCTTCACAACAATCCCAGAGTTATACCTGTATTATAGATAAGCCTCAAAGATAAATTGTTTTCCCACAGACTTATAACTAATAGGAAGAGTATAGCAGGATTCAACTTGGGACTTGTGACCATAAGTACATACCACAGGTACAGTCTTTTCTATGCTTTTTTTTGTTTTGTTTTCAACTTTTTATCATGGAAATTTTAAGCAGATACAAAAGTAAGAAGATAATAATGAAATTCTATGTACCCATCACCTAAATTCATTACAAGTTGCATAGTGGTTATATTCTGTTATTTCCTGTTAATTTATTATGTGGAATTCTTCTCTAAAGAGAAACTTTCCCTTCTGCTTTAAATAAGTTCTTATCTGATCAAACATATAAAATTGAAACTTTTGGAAAATCACTTAATGATCGTCTCCCTTATTTCTTCATTTAAAAGTTATAATAATAAATACCCACACATGTAATTACACATTCTAGGCTGGAGTGGTGGCTCACACCTGTAATCCCAGCACTTTGGGAGGCTGAGGCCGGTGGATCACCTGAGGTCGTTGGGAGTTCAAGATCAGCTTGACCAGCATGGAGAAACCCTGTCTCTACTAAAAATACAAAATTAGCCAGGTGTGGTGGCGCATAACTGTAATTCCAGCTACTCAGGAGGCTGAGGCAGGAGAATCACTTGAACCCAGGAGGCAGAGGTAGTGGTGAGCTGAGATCATGCCATTGCACTCCAGCCTGGGCAACGAAAGCAAAACTCCGTCTCAAAAAAAAGTTACACATTCAATATATTCATTTTTATTCTGAAATGACTGTACCCCTACCCTTACTGAGAAAATATACTTGATGAAGTGTGTCATATTCCCCCCAGATTTACTGGCAAGATTTTTAAAAGGTTGGGAGTTATTGAGCTAGTCCAGTTCTTTTATTTTACAGCATGGAAAGTAAGACTCAGACAGCAGCCAGAACTCTCCGTAATTATATACAATTATACAACTAATTTTCAGTATGTCTGCATTTGGAATTTAGATCTGCTAGCTTCCAATGTTATTCTCTTTCCTTTCTAATTCCTTAAAACTGCCTTTGTGTGATGTACTATGTTCTTAATGATTCTAGGGAATACATGGCAAGAAGAGAGGGATAAATTTGCCAGGGATCCCATTACAAAACAATTGGCTGAGATAGGATAAATTCATTAGATCATGCTTTGTACACCTCTTCTCTTGGTACCTACCTGTTAAGTTCCAGCTCATCAACATGGAATGTACTTTTTCTGTCTCTTTTCTTTTCTTTTTCTTTTTCTTTTTTTTTTTTTTTTTTTTTTTTTTTGAGACGGAGTTTTGTTCTTATCATCCAGGCTGGAATGCAGTGGTGCAATCTTGGCTCAGGCTCACTTCAACCTCCTTCTCCCAGGTTCAAGTGATTCTCCTGCCTCAGCCTCCCGAGTAGCTGGGATTACAGGTGACCGCTACCACACTCAGCTCATTTTTGTATTTTTAGTAGAGATGGTGTTTTACCATGTTGGCTAGGCTGGTCTCAAACCCCTGACCTCAGGTGATTTACCTGCCTTGGCTCCCAAAGTGCTGGGATTACAGGCGTGAGCCACCGTGCCCAGCTGGGATGTACTTTTTTGTAATAGTATGTTGTGGATTGCAAAACTTTTTTGTATATTTTAAAATTTCTGTTTGATACCTGAGAAAATTACAGAGATGATGAAATGCAGCCACAGAATTATCTCATAGAATTTTGTGTGATTTCTCTAAAGAGAGGATATGTCTAGTGATAAGTAGATTAAAAGATTATTTGGTCCTTTCATTAAGTAAACATTTATTGAGAGCCTATGTGTTAGTCGACTATATGTTGGTCACTGACCTAGGTGTATGAATAAATAGTATAAGTCCTAAAAGGAAATTTGTGATATTGGTACTTAGTTTTAACCTAGGATGAGATGTTGGGTTTTAACAATGTGTTAATAAACCCTGGAAAGAAGAGGCAAATGATCTAGTAGTATTGAATTGGAATCTTCTCATGATTTTTTTTTTTTTTGAGATTATCTCCAGTGTACTTGTTGATCTTGCTTTTATGTTTAAGGATAGGCCTTTTTCTACCCAAAATACAGTTGACCTTTGAACATCACGAGTTTGAACTGTGTGAGTCTACTTAACACACACATTTTTTTCAACCAAACATAAATAAAACAGCATTCACAGAATTTGAAACTTCCTTACATGGCTTTTTGTACACACGGTTCTGTAGAGCTGGCTGCAAGACTTGAGTATGCCGGGATTTTGATACAGGCAGTGGTGGGGGGTTCCTAGAACCAATCCACCAGTATACCCAGGAATGACTGTATTGTTTGTTGTGTTTTTTTTTTTGAGATGGAGTCTCTCTCTGTTGCCCACGCTGGAGTGCAGTGGCACGATTTCAGCTTACTGCAAGCTCTACCTTCCCGGTTCAAGCAATTCTCCTGCCTCGGACTCCCAAGTAGCTGGGATTATAGGCGTGTGCCACCACGCCCGGCTAATTTTTGTATTTTTTAGTAGACATGGGATTTCTCCATGTTGGCCAGGCTGATCTCAAACTCCTAACCTCAGGTGATCCACCCGCCTCAGCTTCCAAAAGTGCTAGGATTACAGGCATGAGCCACTGCACCCAGCCCAACTGTATTGTTTTTTTTGGATAATCTCAGGTGTCTGTTATTCACTCAAAATCTGCTTATAATTATACTTTTAACATCTTGCATCTGGATTTCTTTATGTGTAGAGAGCAGAGTAGGGTGATATGACTCTAAAGTGGGTCATTTTGGCCTTTTGTTAGATAAAAACATCCACTGAATAAAGAGAAAACTGGAACAGAAAGTTGGTGTCTTTCACTGTGAATACCTGGAATTGAAGGTGTCATCATTTTCACTCTATTTAACTCCGTTTCTTTCAGTTCCTATTGTCCTTGCCATAAATAAATGTGACAAAGCTGAGGCTGATCCTGAAAGAGTGAAAAAAGAGCTGCTGGCTTATGATGTGGTATGTGAAGATTATGGAGGTGATGTTCAAGCAGTGCCTGTCTCCGCACTTACGGTAAATGTGGGGACTTCATATGAATATGCCTGAATGGGAACGCTGTACACAATGCACACAGTATATTACATCTAAAGAACATTTTGATGTACATAATTTGTGTTGTTTTTAAAACATTTTCCGGGTGTCAGGCAAAGATGGTATTATCTCGGTTTGGCACATTAGGAATTAGGCTCAGAGAGGTCAGTCACCAGCTGATCAGTGTGGAGTCAAGTCTAAATGGAATATGTTTTTTATTATGAGATACTTAGGATGAGAATAAATGGGGAATAAGGGAAATAGTAGGATAAAGACGTGGTGCGATCACAGCTCACTGCAGCCTTCACCTCCAAAGCTCAAGTTGTCCTCCCACCTCAGCCTCTTGAGTAGCTTGGGTTACAGGCAGGTGCCATCCCATGCCTAGCTAATTTTAAAAATTTTTTGTAGACATAGGGTGTCACTGTGTTGCTTAGGCTGGTCTTGAACACCTGGCCTCAAGCCATTGTCCCACCTTGGCCTCCCAAAGCACCGAGATTACAAGTGTGAGCCACTGTGCCTGACCAAAGACTGTCTTAAGCAGAAATGAAATCCAGTTGTTAACAAAAAAGTGCTTATATTTCATGCCTCTTACAAGTGGAAAACAGGCCTTACAGCATTTAAGAGATTTAAACAAAAAGTTCATGAATACCAAGATTAAATATTAAGTTGATTTTGTTGTTGATTGACTGAATGTTTTTGTGGATTAAATTGCTACATGTTTTAAAATGTTATTTAAATGAATTCCATTTTCTTTAAAATTACCATCTATTCTTTCTTGAATATAAGCACCAAGGAAAGTCAGTACTTGCCTCATATCAGTGTTTTCCAATTCTTTTACCCCGTAGAGGTTGCTGCTAAGTAACCTTTTTTGTCCATCCTTGTTATATAATATAGTCTTTTTTTTTCCTCCTGATCATTCACTGAAGGGATGGTGGGCTAATCTACACCTTCCTCCAATTAAATCTCATTTCATCTTTACTTTTCCTAAATGTGTTACCTCCAAGATACTTAGAAATTATGCCTCCATTAGTAGTAAAACTGTGCATCTTTTTCTCTGAAATTTATAAAATGCTGACTTAGACTTTGTTATCTTCTGCACTATCTCAATTGTTATTGCACTCCAAAAGCCACACGTTAAGCTTACTACAATAAGATTAAAATATTTGGCCAGGCGCAGTGACTTACGCCTGTAATCCTAGCACTTTGGGAGGCCGAGATGGTCGGATCCATTGAGGCAGGAGTTCAAGACCAGCCTGGGCAACATGGTGAGACCTTGTCTCTACAAATAAACACAAAAATTAGCCTGGCTTGGTGGCATGTGCCTGTAGTCCTAGCTACTGGGGAGGCTGAGGCTGGAGGATCACCTGAGCGAGGGAGGTGGAGGTTGCAGTGAGCTGAGATGATGCCACTGCACTCCAGCCTTGATAACAGAGTGAGACCCTGTCTAAAAAAAAAAAAAAAATTAAAATATTTGAAGAGTTGACTACCTTTTCTGACCAGATACCATGAGATGAGTAGGTAGATATAAAGCTGCTTAGGCAGATTTGGAGGTGTGTCAGAGATGATTCCAAGGGAATGGAGGGCATTGGAAGAGAGTGGCAGGGAGGTAAGATGATTTTCTAAGGTATGTAAAGGATTACTTCATGCAAGTTAACAACTCTAGTTCTGCTTTTTGGAGCAGCATTTTGTAAATTGGAATAAATACTAGGAATAAGTGGGTGGGTAAGCAAAATATTTAGTCAATTTTTTTTGTTTTGTTTTACAGTTGTCTATTGTTTTATTTTTTATTTTTTGAAACAAAGTCTTGCTGTGTGTCTCAGGCTGGAGTGCATGGCATGATCTTGGCTCACTGCAACCTCTGCCTCTGGGTTCAAGCAATTTTCCTGCCTCAGCCTCCTGAGTAGCTGGGATTACAGGCACGTGCCACCACACCCGACTAATTTTTTGTATTTTTAGTAGAGACAGGGTTTTACCATGTTGGCTGCTCTCGAACTCCTAAGTGCCATTTTCAGCTTCCCAAAGTGCTGGGATTACAGGCATGAGCCACTGTGCCCGGCCCTTGTCTGTTGTTTTATATTTGGTAACAACTGTGAGCAATCTCTTAGCTGATACGAGGAGTGGAAAAATAGCTTGCCTATCAGTTCCAGTTCCATCACCAGTTAATCGGCTGTGTGATCTTGGAGCCCTAGAGAGCATAGTAAACATAGACCATGAAAGGTAAAAGAATCACCCACTCCAGCTTCTTCATTTTATGGTTGAGGTAAGAAGATCCAGGGAGGTGAGGTGATTTCTTTTTTAAAGGGTGCACAGCTGGGTGGTTATAAAGCACAGCTTAGAGCCTAGATCTCTAGTTAGTGCTTTTTCTCCTCATTTATTTATTTTCTCATCATTTATTTAATAAGGGTAAGTAATGCTTGATTTACTTTATAGGATTCTTGAGTTGATCAAATGAAATAATAGATGTGAAATCTCGTTCAGTTGGGTAGAACTTAAAAAAAGAAAGCAAGAGGAAGGAAACACAATTGTAGGGACAGACGGAGGAGAAAGAATGAAGCATTGCATGTGTTTATGAAAGGGATAGTAACAAGTACCACCAGTGGCCATACTTCAAAAAAAAATAGCCACTGATTCCTTGCAAGATCTGTCCATGGCTCAGGTTTTCTTGCTGATCCCTCCCTCCCTTCCATTCTTCCCATTCTCTTTTTTCTTATTTTCTTTTCCCCTCCCTCCCTTCCTTTCTTTGTTAAATTGAGTAATCATGCTTTTAATGATTAAAGAGAAAAGTATAATATATCTTGCAAGGATTATGTGACTTTCTGTCCTTGGTATTTATATTTACTGATAATATTTATTAACGTGTATTAACAACCTTTGTTATTGTTAAAGGGCAATAATCTGATGGCTTTGGCAGAAGCAACAATTGCTCTTGCAGAAATATTAGAATTGAAAGCAGATCCCAATGGTCCAGTGGAAGGAACAGTAATAGAGTCTTTCACAGACAAAGGAAGAGGGTAGGACTCTTAAACTGCTTGCCTTTTTAATTTGTTCTGTGGTTTTTGTGACTTGATTATATGATGATATATTATTCTTGTTGCATGTTATTGTTAGTTCATGAACAATATTTTCAAAGCATTTGTTTTAAAAAGTATTTTATTGTTTGTACTGACACAAGAACACAAGAATGCGGTTATTATCAGTAGACCATAGCAACTATCCATATACATCTAGTAGTCATATTTAGATGACATAAGTAGTTCAATTTGTTTTATTTTTTTCCCTCACTGACTCGACTGAATTGGTAAAGTCTTACAGATAACATAAATTAGAATGAAATACCAATAGTTGCATTTTAGGGTTTGTAAATTCTTTATACCGTACCCATTAATATAATACGCAGAAAGATCTTTGAAGTGGTGTGCTTGAATTTTCCTCCGTATCAGCAAGAGAGGTTTTCTCATTGTTTTACACTCTCTAACAACTGTGAGTAATCCCTTAGCTGATGGAGACTGGGATAGAAAGTGGGTTAAGATTCTGTCAGAACACTTTGCTTCCTGTTTCTTCTCTTAGCATAACCTTGTAAGAAATTATTTTTTTAAAATTGTGGTAAGAAACACCTAACATCCCATTTATTATGTTAACCATATTTAAATATACAGTTCAGTATTGTTGTTTATTCACATTGTTGTACAACAGATCTGTTGAACTATTTTATCTTGTAAAACTGAAAGTCTATACCTTTTAAAATTACCTTAGTCCTTCTCCTGAGCCCTTGGCAACCACCTTTCTGTTTTCTGTTTTTCTTTTATTTATTTATTTTTGAGACAGACTTTTGTTCTTGTTGCCCAGGCTGGAGTGAAGTGGCCATGATCTCAGCTCACTGCAACCTCTGCTCCCTGGGTTCAAGCAATTCTCTTGCCTCAGCCTCCCAGGTAGCTGGGATTTACAGGCACCCGCCACCACGCCTGGCTACTTTTTGTATTTTTGGTAGAGACAGGGTTTTTGCCATGTTGGCCAGGCCAGTCTTGAACTCCTGACCTCAGGTGATTCACCTGCCTCAGCCTCCCAAAGTGTTGGGATTACAGGCGTGAGCCACTACGCCTGGCATTGTTTTCTGTTTTTATTTTGTGACTACTATAGATACCTCATATGAGTGGAATCATACAGTGTGTGTCCATTTGTAACTGGCTTATTTCATTTTGTATAATGTTCTAGAGTTTCATTCATGTTGTAGCCCGTGAAAAGATTTCCTTTTTAAAAAAAATTTAATATTTATTTATTTTTTAATTTTTCTTTTTTTGAGATGGAGTCTTGCTCTATCACCCAGGCTGGAGTGTAGTAGTGCGATCTCGGCTCAGTGCAGCCTCTGCCTCCCAGGTTCAAGTGATTCTCCTGCCTCAGCCTCCTGAGTAGCTGGGATTGTAGGCACATGCCACCACACTCGGCTAATTTTTGTATTTTTAGTAGAGACGGGGTTTCACCATGTTGGCCAGGCTGGTCTCGAACTCCTGACCTCAGTTGATGTACCCACCTCGGCCTCCCAAAGTGTTGGGATTACAGGTGTGAGCCACTTCACCCAGCCTATTTTTTTTTTTAATTGAGATGGGGTCCTGCTATGTTGCCCAGGCTGGTCTCAAACTCATGAGCTCAAGTAGTCCACCCACCTTGGCCTTCAAAAGTGCTGCTGGGATTACAGCCATGAGCCACTATACCTGGCCAATTTCCTTCTTTTTAAAGACTGTATAATATTCCTTTGTATGTAAAATCCACATTTTCTTTGGAAGAAATGTCCATTTGTCTTTTGATGGACATTTGGGTTGCTTCTACTTCTTGGCTATTGCAAATAAATTTGTTTAAAATGGTCTTGATAGGCTGACTTTGAACTCGGGGGCTCAAGTGATCCTCTTGCCTTAGCCCGCTGAATAGCTGGGATTGCAGGTGTGCCATTGCACCCAGCTTTGAAATGTTTTTATAGTATGAAAAACTGCTTAAGAAGTTAAGTGGCAGAATTAATCTTGTGTATACACATGTTTATGTAATTTAAACTTCATAAAGATATCTTTGCTCTACTTAAAGTACAATTACATCCTGATTATGACATTAAAAATATACTTTTATTTTCATTTTAGTCCTGTTACTACAGCTATAATTCAAAGAGGAACTTTAAGAAAAGGCTGTGTTCTGGTTGCTGGAAATTGTTGGGCAAAAGTACGCTTAATGTTTGATGAAAATGGAAAAACAATCCATGAGGCCCATCCCAGCATGCCAGTGGGAATTACAGGCTGGAGAGACCTTCCTTCTGCAGGAGAAGAAATTCTTGAAGTAGAATCTGAGGTATATCAAGCTTAATTCCTATATGTAGGATGTAATATAATGATTTTAAATGTCAGTTTACAATGTTATACCAAATATGTGTATTACTGTTAACAAATAATTCTAGATTATAAGAGGCTGTGAGGATGCAAGTTGTGCTATTATAGCATTAGACTATAGAATTTTGGGGGGATAAGATTTTTAAATCATTTCAATTATATAAGCTCTCAAATTAAAATTTTACATGTTTCTTGAAACTTATAAAAGTAGCAGTTTCATACATGAGTTACGCTAATTTCCTAATGGGGGACAACACAAAGGCTTTAATCTAGCAGTTATTGTTGTCTACTTCATTAAATAACGCGTTTTTCCCCTATAAAGCCAAGGGCACGTGAAGTTGTTGACTGGAGGAAGTATGAACAAGAACAGGAGAAAGGTAAAGAGGATGTGAAAATAATAGAAGAAAAGCGAAAGGAACACCAAGAAGCATATCAGAAAGCCCGTGAGAAGTATAGCAATGTGCAGTGGAAGAAGAGATCACTTCTACAGTATTTAGAAATAAAAGAACAAACATCCTTAAAGCGAAAAGAGGAAATGGAAAGAGATTCAAATGTACTTCCTGTGATTATTAAAGGTATCTTTTTAAAGATTTTACATTACATTCTCTGAATATATATATATATATATATAAACTATTCTCATAGTTTGGTCCTTTACATTTACATGAAAATTATTTCAGTATTTTAGGAGAGATTTTCTTATTCAACATATTTCTTGCTGATTTTGTTGTAAATGAACCTTTGGCTCATTATATGCTATTAAGTCAAGTAGGTATATGTAATGCTAAGCCTACATAAAAGTGGATTTAGTGGTAAATGACATTCCTATCATGGCTTTAAATAGATTATTGTCATTTTTATGTCTGCTGATGTCTAACTCGTAAAAGCAACAATTATAAACTTTTTTTGTATTTAGGTGATGTTGATGGTTCTGTTGAGGCCATTTTGAACATTATAGATACCTATGATGCTTCACACGAGTGTGAACTAGAATTAGTACATTTTGGAGTAGGTGATATAAGTGCAAATGATGTTAACCTTGCTGAAACATTTAATGGTAAGGATTCCATTTTTTCTTGTTAATCTGTGTTCCCTAAATAACACTGAACCATCTGCTTCTGTCTTTTGTTGCTTGGCTTGTCACACCTGACATTTATTCCCATCAGCATCACCCTTCCTGCTATAGTCCAGTCCCAGCTAGCAATTTAAACTGAATGGGATGTGCAGTATTGTGGCCATAGCTCCATTTGTTGTGGTTGTATTGCAATTTTGGGGAACTATTTCAAGACCTAGTCACGTTTATCTTTTTTTTCAAAGCACCATTACTGCCCCCTCTCCCTACTCCTCCAAGTTCTTTACTATCCCACGGTTGATTCTCATATCTTTCATCAGACTTCTGAATGTTCCTAGCACTGTAATCACCCTATTCAGTCTTTCCTTCATCTTTTACTTTTGGCTTCCTATCTTTGGTAATTGATAACTTTATATGTCATATCTTTTTAGAGCAAAAGGTCTTTTTAGCTTTATAAGCCTAGAAGGCATGGAACTGTCTTTACTAGTTGAATTTATGATACACAAAAAGGGGGACTCATGACTGTTAAATAAGTGGAACACCTAGTAAAGCAAAAACATTGTTGAGTTATTAGGAATCATTTAGGAAAGAGATTTCTTTGAAACCTGACTTGATTAGAGTTAGATGTCACCTCTACTGAAAAGGATAGAGGTAACATCTAATTGATTAATTAAATGTATTTCATAGGCACTGACTGGCTTAGTACTGTGCTGTAATATAGACAGTGTATTGAATGATATTGAAATGACTTTTTTTCTTTTTTTTTTTTTTTTTTGGAGACAGAGCCTCACTCTGTCACCCAGGCTGACATGTGGCATCGTCTCGGCTCACTGCAACCTCTGTCTCCCTTGTTCAAGGGATTCTCCTGCCACAGCCCCCACTGAGTAGCTGGGATTACAGGCGTGCACCACCATACCTGGCTAATTTTGTATTTTTAGTAGAGACAGGGTTTCACCATGTTGGCCAGGCTGGTCTTGAACTCCTGACCTAGGTGGTCCACCTGCCTTGGCCTCCCAAAGTGCTGGAATTATAGGCATTAGCCATTGTGCCCAACCAATTGAATGACTTCTTTTTCTTGAGACGGAGTTTTGCTTTTGTCAACCAGGCTGGAATGCAATGGTGCAATCTTGGCTCACTGCCACCTCTGCCTCCTCGGTTCAAGTGATTCTCCTGCCCCAGTCTCCCGAGTAGCTGGGATTATAGGCACCCACCACCACACCCGTCTAATTCTTTTTTTTTTTTTTTTTTTTTTTTTTGAGACAGAGTCTTGCTCTGTCGCCCAGGCTGGAGTGCAGTGGCCAGATCTCAGCTCACTGCAAGCTCCGCCTCCCGGGTTTACGCCATTCTCCTGCCTCAGCCTCCTCAGTAGCTGGGACTACAGGCGCCCGCCACCTCGCCCGGCTAGTTTTTTTGTATTTTTTTAGTAGAGAAGGGGTTTCACCGTGTTAGCCAGGATGGTCTCGATCTCCTGACCTCGTGATCCGCCCGTCTCGGCCTCCCAAAGTGCTGGGATTACAGGCTTGAGCCACCGCGCCCGGCCCTAATTCTTCTATTTTTAGCATAGATGAGGTTTCATCATGTTGGCCAGTTTCGTCTCAAACTCCTGACCTCAGGTGATCCGCCCACCTCGGCCTCCCAAAGTCCTGGGATTATAGGCTTGAGCCACTGCGCCTGGCCAGAATGACTTCTTAATGATAGGAGTTTCAAGGTGATTGTGTTTTTCTCCGTCTTAAACTGTGTGGGTTAATCTTTTTTCATTCATTTTGTTTAAGACAAGAGTGTCTTAAACAAAGCTTTTTTTTAAGACAAGCTTTTTTTTTTTTTTTTTTTTTTACTTTTTGGGTTAATTTTTTTTTTAGATAAAGTCTCGCTGTCGCCCAGGCTGGAGTGCAATGGTGCAATCTGGGCCCACCGCACCCACCGCCTCCTGGGTTTAAGAGATTCTCCTGCCTTAGTTTCCTGAGTAGCTGCAATTACAGGCGTCTGCCACCATGCCTAGCTAATTTTTGTATTTTTAGTAGAGACAGGGTTTCACCATGTTGGTCAGGCTGGTCTCAAACTCCCAGCCTCCAGTGATCCACCCGCCTCGGCCTCCCAAAGTGCTGGGATTACAGGCATGAGCCACCGTGCCCGTCCAGGTTAATTTTTTTCATTCATCTTTTTTAAGACAAGAGCGTTTTGCTTTTTTTTTCTCCCAAGTATTTACAGTTAAATACATTATTTGTTTTTTGGTGCAATGGTCAGCTCCATGAAACTTGCTTCTTAAAAATAACTCTTGACCCTTACCAATTAAGTCACTATTTTTCCCTCCAACCCTTTAAGTCACTATTTTTGGGCATCTTTTGGCCATCTGAATACCTAAGTGCAAACCACAAAAATTGTAGACAATAAGATTATAATTTAATAATGTAGTGTTATTAAAATGAAGCAATAATATTTTAGCCCTGGTCATTTTTTGTGTTTTTATTTCTCTGGTATAAAAACCAAATTTTGTTTAGCATACTGCTTTACACGTTATAGGCACTTAATGGTCCTTAAATGAATGGATTTGAAATTATAAAGAAATTTTGTTAAGCCACAATACAATTTATAAAATTCTTTCATCAATTGGAAAATTTACTAGTTTTGGTGAGAAAAAAATCATAGACCTTCTAACCTCCTCTAATTGCTATTTTTTTTTTTTTTTGAGACAGAGTTTTGCTCTATTTGCCGAGGCTGGAGTGCAGTGGCACGATCTCAGCTCACTGCAACCTTTGCCTCCCGGGTTCAAGCGATTCTCCTGCCTCAGCCCCCCGAGTAGCTGGAATTACAGGTGCCCGCCACCACGCCCGGCTAATTTTGTATTTTTAGTAGAGACGGGGTTTCACCGTGTTGGCCAGGCTGGTGTCGAACTCCTGACTTCAGGTGATCCACTTGCCTGAGCTTCCCAAAGTGATAGGATTACAGGTGTGAGCCACGGCACCCGGCCTCTTTTTTGCTATTTTAATTTAGAAAATAAAACAATTTAGATTCAAGTTTCTGCTTGAAAGACAAATAAATGATTATAATGTAATCTTTGTGCTACTTCATTCATCATATTTCTGTTTGCTAGGTGTTATATATGGCTTTAATGTGAATGTAGGCAAAGTTATCCAAGAGTCAGCTGCAAAAAAAGGTGTAAAAATGAAACTTCACAAAATAATTTACCGTCTTGTTGAAGATTTGCAAGAGGAACTGAGCAGCAGATTACCCTGTGCTGTGGAAGAGCACCCAGTAGGTGAGTGATCACTGGGTGTTACTTTTAAAAATTAGTATAGTAGGTGCTATAAATAGCACTTCAGCGCTTAGAGGAAATGTTTTCAATGTTGAAAGATATATCCTGTGTTCTAGAAAAAAAGACTACCATGAGAATTCATTGTAGCTTCTTATGTAAACACCTGCCCTGTGTAACACATTGTGCCTATGCCTTGAGGATACAAAAGCAAATAAGGAATTAAGAACTTGCCCTCCAGTTTAGATATGAACAAATAATTATAATACAAATTATACTACTATTGAATGCATAAAGATTATTAACAGTGTCATGGAAAGAGCTGTTGACTTTGTTGTAGGGCTGGCAGAGAAGTCTACCATAAGAAGAAAATTTACATTGAAATATTAAATATTTAAAAATACTGTTTCTAGCATATATCAGCCAGAGTAGACTGAGTTTATTTAAAATTGATTAAATTACCTCATCTGTTTTTTTTCCCTCCCCATGTAGATTTTTTTTTTTGGTTAACTTTTAATTTTGATAATAGTTTTAAATTTCCAGGTAAATTGCAAGAGAAATACAAGGAACTCCTATATATCTTTTACCTAATTCACCAGTTGTTTACATTTTGTCCTATTTGCCTCATTTTTGTCCTGCTCCATACACACGATTTTTTTTACCTGGACCATTTGAAAATGTTTGAGATATAATGCCTATTTGCCTCTAAATATGTACATCTGCTAAGCAAAAGAGACTATCTTATAAAACCATAGAACTAATCAAACTCAAGAAACTTAACATTTATTTATACAATGCAGTTATCTAATACACAGTCCATATTCACATTTTGTCCATTGTCCCAACAATGTACTTTTTTTCCCCAGTCCGGGATCATGGATTATAATATATCCATGTTGTCATATCTCTCTGGCTCCATTTAATCTGGAACAGTTCTTCAATTTTTGTCTCTTTTGACCTTGACATTTTTGAAGCATATTGGCCAGCTGTTTTGTAGAATGTACCCTGATTTGGATTTGTCTAGTGTTTCCCCATGATGAGATTTGATTTTGCATTTTTAATCTACATAACAGATTTATTATTTTAGGTTTTTCTGACCTGCTCAACATGATCGTACAGAGATTTTTATGTTCTTGTGCTAAGAGCAATTTGGAACACTAAGTCATGAGGGTTTCTAGGATTAAGCAAACACACCAGTCAGATAACACTACCACCACCAGTAAAATAGCTCCCTAGAAAACTGGTTCATTATAGTGCGTGTTACTTCATTATTGGAATTTGTATTAATTTTTAGTCAGTAAAAAAAACAGACTCAGCCAGGCATGGTGGCTCATGCCTATAATCCCAGCACTTTGGGAGGTCGAGGCATGCGGATCACCTGCGGTTGGGAGTTTGAGACCAGTGTGCCCAACATGGTGAAACCCCGTCTTTATTAAAAATTAGCCAGGTGTGGTGGCGCATGCCTGTAATCCCAGCTACTTGGGAGGATGAGGCAGGAGAATCACTTGAATCCGGGAGGCAGAGGTTGCAGTGAGCCAAGATTGCACCATTGCACTCCAGCCTGGGCAACAAGAGCGAAACTCCATCTCAAAAAAAAGAAAATAAAAAAGACTCAATTAGTAGTTCTAAGTAGATATAAATTACCTGTGGCAAAATGAAAAATAATGAGACCAGGTGCAGTGGCTCACGTGTGTCATCCCAGGACTTTGGGAGGCTGAGGTAGGAGCATCACGTGAGGCCAAGAATTCAAGACCAGCCTCCACAAAAAAAAGGTAAAAATAAAATAATTAGTTGTGTATGGTGGCACACACCTGTAGTCTTAGCTATCCAGGAGAATTGCTTGAGCCCAGGAGCTTGAGGTTACAGTGAGATATGATCATGCCACTGCACTCCAGCCTGGGTGACCCATCTGTAAAAATTTTTTTAAAAAGATAAAAGAGAAAGTAATGACAGATGATCTACTCTTGAAAATATATTGAAGGAAAGCTTAAAACAAGGTTTTCATGGAGCAGACAAGAATAGGCAAAGATGGCTGGGTGCAGTGGCTCACGCCTGTAATTTCAGCACTTTGAGAGTCCGAGGTGGGTGGATCACTTGAGGTCAGGAGTTTGAGACCAACCTGGCCAACATGGTAAAACCCCGTCTCTACCAAAAATATAAAAATCAGCTGTATGTGGTTGTGGGCGCCTGTAATTCCAGCTACTTGGGAGGCTCAGGCAGGAGAAACACTTGAACCCCGGAGGTGGAGGTTGCAGTGAGCCAAGATCATGCCTGGATGACAGAGTGAGATTGTCTCAAAAAAAAAAAAAAAGAATAGCCAAAGATTTTCATGCATTTTTATTCTTAATATTGGTCAGGAAAATAAAATTGGAGTTAAAGAAACCTAGACTTTTTTCTAGGCATGAATTTGGATTTTTGTCATACCTTTAATTCTTATACCACAGAATGTCAGAAATTGCATATTTCTCAGAATCTTTAGTTTTCTGCACATTAATGCTCTCTTCTTCCTAAAGGTGAGGCATCTATACTAGCTACCTTCTCTATAACAGAAGGGAAGAAAAAAGTTCCTGTGGCTGGCTGCAGAGTCCAAAAGGGACAGTTAGAAAAACAAAAAAAATTTAAATTAACCCGTGATGGACATGTAATTTGGAAGGGTAAGCAACATCAAAATCCCATATCCAGTCACCAAAACCTGTTGACTACATAACCATCTGAAATCTGTTCATCTTTCATGTCCATAATCTCAGCTCAGGCCATTTCTTATTGCTGTTGTAACTCCTAAATTGTCTGTAGTTGATCGGTTCCCTTTGCTTGAGATGTATGTTGGTTTTATATCTCAAGTACCATCCTATCCTCAGCAAAAAGTTTGTGTCTACCTTTGAAATAGGAGATTTAGGGTATTTTGCTATAAATTAAGTCTTAGTTACAGCAAACTTCATTTTTCAGGGGGTTCCCCTGGTATTTAGTCCCATTGTTTAACATGACAGGACCATGCAATTTTTAAGAATTTCAGTGTAATTTCCTGGTAACACCATATAATGTAGTATTTAGTAGGTACTTATCATTTATTGAATATACTGACCTTAAATTATATCTTTTTAAGGTTCATTAACCTCACTGAAACACCATAAAGATGACATTTCAATTGTCAAAACGGGAATGGATTGTGGTCTCAGTTTAGATGAAGAAAATATGGAATTTAAAGTGGGAGATAGAATTGTTTGTTACGAAGAAAAACAAATTCAAGCCAAGACTTCTTGGGATCCAGGATTTTAAAATACATTAAAGATGTAAATAACTCAACGTGTTGCTTTTTTGAAGGTAGAAATGCACTACTACTGGCCAAAAAGTATCTAAGTTGTTCTACCATGTGTTCATATGCACAAACTGTCAGAAGTGCTCAGAAATAGGAAATCTTATTTAAGGATGCCTCCAGCTAGAAATCCTTTAATGGAAAGACTGGCAATATGGTAAAAGGTAATTGTTAATTACTTACACATCACTGATTTCTTTAAAGTGGATGCTTTAGGCCGGGCACGGTGGCTCAAGCCTGTTTTCCCAGCACTTTGGGAGGCCGAGGCGGGTGGATCACGAGGTCAGGAGATTGAGACTATCCTGGCTAACATGGTGAAACCCCGTCTCTACTAAAATACAAAAAACTAGCTGGGCGTGGTGGCGGGCGCCTGTAGTCTCAGCTACTTGGGAGGCTGAGGCGGGAGAATGGCGTGAACCCGGGAGGCGGAGCTTGCAGTGAGCCGAGATCACGCCACTGCACTCCAGCCTGGGAGACACAGCGAGACTCCGTCTCAAAACAAAACAAAACAAAAAAAAGTGGATGCTTTAGTTAAGAGGCTTATCAAGTGAACCAGCTTTCCCTGAATTGAGCTCCAAAGGAAGATATGCTACCCAAGTCCTGCTTGAAACTAAACTGTCTTTTAGTGTTAACAGTACAAATAAGTAATCATTCCTTTATAGGGATCCATCCTGAACAAACATTAAATTCCCAAGAGTTGTATGACAGACAGCAAACATTCCACTGAAACCACCCAGAGACTGTGGATGCATTTTTTTTTTTTTTGAAACAGGTCTTGTCCAGGATGAAGTGCAATGCATGATTACAGCTCCTGGGCTCAAGGGATCCTTTTGTCTCACCCTCCCCAGTAGGCAGGACCATAGGAGTCAGCCTATGTTTTTTTTTGCAGAGATCAGGGTCTTGCTATGGTGCCCAGGCCGGTCTTGAACTCCTGGACACAAAGTGATCCTCCCAAAGTGTAGGGATTGCAGGCTTGAGCCACCACTCCCAGCCAGTATCCATTTTTGAGTTGGCAACTTTAGCCTTTAACAGAAGTATGCTTAGCCAAGGTCTCTTTTAAGCCAAGGTCTTAACACCTACACAAACCGTGATTCTCAAAGACAAGAGATAGGCACTACTGGCCACTGAATGGGTAAAGGGAAGGGATGCTGCTCATCACATGACAGACCGCACAACAAAGACTTACCTGGCCCCAAATGTCTATTGTGTTGAGGTCAAGATGGACAGAAACAAAAACTGGCTTGTATAACTTCTGCCAAAGTATAGGTATTCTAAGAAGTTACTATGAATTGAAAATATAAAGACCTTTACAAGTGGTTGGCACCTGGCAGGTATACAGAACCACTGGGTCACACAATCCCCAGAAGCAACATTCATACAGTGATAGCAGTAGCACTAATAAAGGAAATGGTGTGACCATCAATTTGGTGCTTAAAAACTATTCTTTTTACTGCAATGAAATCCAACAATAAAGGTTAGTTCGTGTCTTTTATTAACTCATACAGTTACTTGTCTTCTGGCTTGTTGAAACAGTAAGTCAGACAACATTTGCCACAATAATGTCTGTCAAAGTGGCTTGCCATAAACACCCCAGCACCACATTCATCAGATGGGCACTCTCGACGAAGGCGACTAATTTTGCCATTCTCATCCACCTGAAAAGTACAAACCTGCTGTAAGATAATTTTACAACACATTCTGAAGTCTAATTTAAGTGACTCAAAATATTTAAGCTTTTACTATGTAATACTGGTAGTTTTCGTGCTTACAAACCAAAGCACCCTAAATTCTCACCAGTTATTATTACTACAATGAAAATATTCAGAAGTCTTGGGACTTCTGAACACTAAAGGTCAGCTTTGCAAGTCGTAGACAAATGTAAGACCTGAACCCAGACCCGACTTTAAACTCAGAACCCTATTACGTAAGTGATTTCAAAAACCAAACAGGAAAAACCCCAGGAAGTCTGAATTTCTCATTTCCAGAATACCTCATTTAAACCAAAGTGGGGTAATACTAGATACTTAAGTCCAAGAAAATACTGACAAGTTACTATAAAGTTTTCCAAATAAGCCAAGACTTTGCTGACATTCTGCCCATCACTTTAACTGGCTCACCTTATAATATTTCAGGACAGCCAGCTTAACCTTCTTTCTCTTGTGCTTATTCTTCTTGGGAGTGGTGTAAGACTTCTTCTTCCTTTTCTTAGCACCACCACGAAGTCTCAACACAAGATGAAGAGTAGACTCCTGTTAATGGAAGAATGACATAAGCTTTCATGATTCCACTAAGAATGGGCACACCCAACATTATGCATCTCTTAATTGAAAGCAGTAGCAGTACACAGTAACATTTGAGGTAATCTTGCTGCCCCATCCCAATAAAGTATCTGATTCTTAACCATTTATAGGGAGATTAAAGAATGCATTACATTACACCATGGGATGCAACTTGCAAAATTCATAATGGGAAAAACTACAGTAGCGCTTCTCAAGTATCAGTATAGGAGTTACCTAAAAATCTACTGCTAATCTAATGCCATTCTCCCCTTTTGCGTGTCAAAATGTCCAAAATACACCACATGGAGTGGCTCACGTCTGTAATCCCAGCGCTGGGAGGCCACAGTGGGAAGATCACTTGCGCCCAGGAGTTTGAGACCAGCCTGGGCATGGTGGTGTGTGCCTATAGGTCCAACTACAGAAGGTTAAGGTGAGAGGACCACCTGAGTCTGAGAGATAGAGGCTTCAGTGACTGTGCCAAAGTCAGAGCCTGTCTCAAAAAAAGTAAAATAAAAAATTTCCAAAATAACATTTTTTTAAGAGGCTGCTCTTCCCCTAGACAGACCTTTTGAATATTGTAGTCAGACAAAGTACGTCCATCTTCCAGTTGCTTGCCAGCAAAGATCAGTCTTTGCTGATCAGGAGGAATTCCTAATAAGAAAAAAACAAGAAGTCACAGCACACGAAGCCTGTGATGTGCTCCAGATTTATAAGGTAACACCCTTAATCAAATACATGGTACTAACAGCTGACCATAAGCCCTTACTAGAGGTTAGGCATGGTTCTAAATCTTTACACATCACGTTTTACTGCATTTAATCTTAGGGACAATACTGGGCTTCTGCAGTGGCTCACGCCTGTAATGCCAACACTTTGGGAGGCCGAGGTGGGGGGATCACTTGAGGTCAGGAGTTCCAGACCAGCCTGGCCAACATGGTGAAACGCAGTCTCTACTAAATATACAATAAATTGGCCGGGCGTGGTGCTGCACGCCTGTAATCCCCACTACTAGGGAGGCTGAAGCACAAGAATCACTTGAACCCGGGAGGCGGAGGCTGCAATGAGCCGGGACGAGCCAATACACTCCAGCCTGGGCGACAGAGAAGACTCCCATCTCACACAAAATAAGTAAGTGTCCAAATTCACACAAGTGAAATACACCTTAAGGATTCCAATCTAGGGACTGTGCTCCCCGATCACAAACATTTATTGTGTTATTTCCCAAGTATTTTGCTTTGTCAATCTGCCCTTCCCCCCCTCACCATGAGCAGATATGTGTAGCACCTACAAGTAGGCTGAAGTCTCCACAGGTTAAGTTTTCTTAACTACAAAATATTACTTGCCTTCCTTATCCTGGATCTTGGCCTTTACATTTTCTATCGTATCCGAGGGTTCAACCTATGAATGTTAAAATGAAAGTATGTTGCTTACACATTACGGAACTACAGCAGAACTCATTTAGTTTGACAATTACCACTGAACCGAACCGGCGACAGGGCTGAAACCTACTCAAGAGACCTATTACCCACCCAGTGGGCAACCTCCCAAGTCGGCTACCGGAAAGCACCTTCATCTCCCCAGCCCAGGGCGGGCGGCCGCCACAGGGCCACACGTGCTCGCGCCCGGCGGGGGTAGTTACCCGGCGCAGCTCCTCCGTTTTAACTAGCTGGCACCCCTCGAGAGGTGAGAGGCCCGCCTTTGGCCACCGAAAATCACCTTGAGGCCGTTGCTCAGCAAAAAAAACTCATTTCAAAGCTTAAGTTTTAGAACCCAAATTCGGAATCATTGTCTAAGTCATGGAAAGCAGCGCCGGTCCTAAAATCCACCTCAGGACCTTATTCGGACCCTGGCTTCCTCATGACCACCTGGCCCGTACCTCGAGGGTGATGGTCTTCCCCGTAAGGGTTTTCACGAAAATCTGCATTTTTGTGGCGGCTCCACCTGAGGTTGGGGAAAAGGAAGAGATGGGTTAGGTCAGGGATCACAACAGAAGGCGGCATAGGGCGCTAGCCCCAGAGCAGCCGAAGAGCAGACACTCACCGCAGATGGCGGATCGAAAAGGAAGAACGCCGCGCAGGCCCACGGGGTTTCCCGGCGCCCCAGCCGAAAGACCCACCCCTTAGGCGACCACACCAAATGCCTGACTGCCATCCCAGCGACAATCCAACCCGGTGCTAGACCAGGACGTGAAACTCGTTTCTCCTCTCCCTAACCGGGGCTTATTTCTCACTTTAGCCTTCGGAATGCTTTCGAAATGGTAGGTTTAAGCAACGTAAAAAATGTTTTAAAAAGGTTTTTCCCGTGCAGTCAACGTGGCTAAGAGAATTTTTAAAAGGAGGTGGGTCGAGGGGGGCCTCATTGGGGAAGAGGTAGGAAATGGAAGTGTATTCTGGGAATTGTAGTTCTCCACTGCTTTCTTCTACCTTGGACTACTTGTCCCAAGATGCAGTTCCGCCTCCCAGATTCCCTAGTTACTATCTCTAAGCACTAAAGTCGGTGTTTGGAGAAAGGGACTCAGGTGAGGACTGGAGGGAGGATGAAGCGGAATAATGGTTTCCGGAGCGTGGAAACGGGCCGGAAGTGACTAGGAAGAAAGGTTAAGGGGCGGGCCGAGAGTGCGGGGCACGAAAGGTGTCCTTCACCCACTTGCAGAAGCGGTGAGGGGCAGAGAATCAGCGATCTACCAGCCGCTCCCTGGGCCTCCAAGGGAAGGGAATCTGCATGGCCTGCTCCAGGCAAACTGAAAAATAGGTGAAATCTTCGGAAGCGGGGGTTCAGCCCTTTCTCGCCTGTAGCCCCTCCCTGCTTTCAACCGCCAAGTCTCTCCCAGCCTAGGGAAGAAGAGTCTGAGTATTGTGTGTCACTCCTTAGTGTGACAAGCTTTAATATGTTTAAAAATCTCAGGAGTTTTCAAATTTTAAAGTGAAGCCGTACGGAAAAGAAACCTGCAGAATGGTTATTTAGTTGTAGAATTTCCAAATTTGGACTTTGGGAGTCTTGGATCTGAGAGGAAGTTTTGGGGATATGTATCTGGTGCCCTTCCGGCAAGGAGGCCAATTAGAAGCAAGTTCCCCCTGTCCTTTCTCCACTCCACAAACCACAGAGTCCTTTCTAAGGAACCTTCTTAATGTCTTCTGTATTTATTTCTTCATCCTCTACCGCCTGCGACCCCATCCCCAAATTCAGACTTTCATTTTCTCTTGTAGGGGTTCCGTATGTAACTCTTTATCTCTCTCCAGTCTTTTCTCCTTTCTAACCCCCCTTCACTATTGCCTCCAAAATATTCATTCTGAAAGGTAAATGTGTGTTATTATTCTACTTAAAATACCTCACCTTCAGGATACAATTCAAATCTCTCAGAATGACATGCAGCCTCTGCCTTCCTTACAACCCAATCTGCTAAACCCATTACTCTACATTTTAGTAAATGAAGCTAATTTAATTTCCTGACTTATGCTCTCCCGTGTTTTGGCATTTCTGAAGATTCCGATCATTTCTTCTTCCTGGAATGTTTTTCCTTTTTCCTTTTTTTTTTTTTTTTTTTGTGCGTGGGTGTGGGCGTGTGTGTGTGACGGAATTTCGCTCTGTCGCCCAGGCTGGAGTGCAGTGGCGCGGTCTCAGCTCACTGCAAACTCCGCCTCTCAGGTTCAAGCAATTCTCCTGCCTCAGTCTCCCGAGTAGCTGGGATTACAGGCACCCACCACCATACCCGGCTACTTTTTGTATTTTTAGTAGAGATGGGGTTTCACCATGTTGGCCAGGCTGTTCTCTAACTCCTGACCTCAAATGATTCACCCACCTCGGCCTCCCAAAGTGCTGGGATTACAGGCGTGAGCCACCACGCCCTGCCTTCTGGAACATTTTTCATACCAGTCGGCCAACTAGTCTCTACAACAAAATTTCCCAGAGTTGCTTGTACACATTGTCTCTAATCTTTCCCTTCTGTTGTCTGAACCCACTCCTATCAGGCTTTTGTCCCCACCATTCTGATGGGATAGCTCTTGTAATGGTCACTAATGACCTCCATGTTGCTAAATTCAATGGTGATTTCATCTTATTTGATCTGTCAGCAGTATTTGACACAGTTGCTCATTCCATCTCTTTTTGAAACCCTTTCTTTACCTGACTTCCCCTCTTTGTGTTTTTCTGCCACCCTGGAGGCTCTTTTCCAGGCTCATTTGCTGCTTCCTTTTGATATGCCAGACCTCTAACCATGGAGTATCCCCAAGACCCAGTCTTTGGACCTCTGCTTTGTCTGCATTTTCTTGGTTATCTCATTTTGTTTAATAACTTTTAAAGTCATCATATGCAAATGACTCATAAACTTATCTGTCACTCAGACCACTTACCTCAACTTCATATTCACATATCCAGCTACGTACTCAACATCTCTAATGGACAGGCCCCAAACGGTTAATTTCATGAAATTGCTCTTCCCATCTTTATATATAGCAATTCCCATTTCTCCAGTCACTAAGGCCAAAAACTTTATGGTCATCCTTGACTGCTCTTTTATATCCCACATCTTACCTACCTTGGCTGATCTTGGCCTTATTTTCAAAATATATGCAGAACACTTCCCACTACCTCCATTGTTACCAACCTGATTCAAGCTACCATCATCTTTTGCCTTGATTATTGATTGCAGTAGCCTCCTAACAGTATTTCCAACTTTGACCCTTGCGTCCTATAATCTGTTTTCCACAGAACAACAAGAACAAAATTTTTCTTTTTTTTTTTTTTGAGACAGAGTTTCACTCTTGCTGCCCAGGGTGGAGTGCAATGGCACAATCTTGGCTCACCGCAACCTCCGATTCCCAGGTTCAAGTGATTCTCCTGCTTCAGCCTCCCCAGTAACTGGGATTACAGGCATGCACCACCATGCCCAGCTAATGGTGTATTTTTAGTAGAGACAGGGTTTCTCCATGTTGGTCAGGCTGGTCTCAAACTCCTGAACTTAGGTGATCTGCCCGCCTCGGCCTCCCAAAGTGCTGGGATTATAGGAATGAGCCACCATGCCTGGCCAAGAACAATTATTTAACATGTTAAGTCAGCTGTCACTCTTCTGCACACAGGCCTCTAAAGGCTTCGCATCTCACTCAGAGGAAAGCCTAAATTCCTACAACTGAGGCTGTTGCTCCAGCGCCGGAACAAGTAGAGGCCACAGTCCAGTGTTGCTCCTCTTGCCAAGTCTGCCCAGAGAAGGGACCTCTTTTTCTAAACCGCACAAAGATACCCCCTGGGCTGATAGTAGTTCTGCCCTCAAGACCCTACATCCTACATAATCTGGCAGTTACCTCTCTGACCTCATCTCTTCTCTCCTTTTCTCATTCTCTTCTAGCCCCACGGGCTCTCTTGCTGTTCCTCAAATGTTCATTCTCACCCTGAGGCCTTTGGACTGGCTACTGTCTTTGCCTCAACCACTCATCTCCCGGGAATCTACATGACCTGCTGTTTTCAGATTTCTGAAATGTCACCTTATCAGTGAGGTCTTTTGTCTGTCATGACTTACTGCCCTTATAGAAAATAGCATCCTGCCACCTTCCTTACTCTCTATGCCCCATACCTTGTTTTATTTTTCTTCATACAACTTAACCCCCATCTGCCATACTATATTTCTTTCTTTCTTTCTTTCTTTCTTTCTATCTATCTATCTATCTATCTATCTATCTATCTATCTATCTATAATTTTTTTCTTTTTTTTTTTTTTTTGAGATGGAGTCTTCGTCTGTCACCCAGGCTGTATTACAGTGGTATAAGTTCAGCCCACTGCAACCTCCGCCTCCCTGGTTCAAACGATTCTCATACCTCAGCCACCTAAGTTGCTGGGATTACAGGTGTGAGCCACTGTGCCCAGCTAATTTTTCTCTCTTTTTTTTTTGGAGACGGAGTCTCGCTCTGTCGCCCAGGCTGGGGTGCAGTGGCCAGATCTCAGCTCACTGCAAGCTCCGCCTCCTGGGTTTACGCCATTCTGCCTCAGCCTCCCGAGTAGCTGGGACTACAGGCGCCCGCCACCTTGCCCGGCTAGTTTTTTGTATTTTTTAGTAGAGACAGGCTTTCACCGTGTTAGCCAGGATGGTCTCGATCTCCTGACCTCGTAATCCGCCTGTCTCGGCCTCCCAAAGTGCTGGGATTACAGGCTTGAGCCACTGTGCCCGGCCAATTTTTGTGTTTTTTAATAGAGACTGGGTTTTGCCATGTTGGCCAGGCTGATCTCGAACTCCTAACCTCAAGTGATCCACCTGCCTCGGCTTTCCAAAGTGCTGGGATTACAGGCATGAGCCGCCGTGCCTGGCCTTTTTTTTTTCTTGTGTGTTGTCTGTCTCTACATGAATGTAACCTCTATGAGATTAGGGACTTCGTTTTGTTCAATCCTGTGTCTCCATTGTCTAAAATAATGGCAGACAAACAATAGGTGCCCCCCAAATATTGAGTAAATAAATGCAGCACAACTTAAGCATTGCCCTAGATTTTGTTTTACTAGATGTTTTCCCTCATGTTTCCTTGCGCCCTTCCACAGGCTGATGAGATGCCCCTCTGGCCTTCTGTAGCCCATTGTGCTCACCTCTGTCGCACTGCCTTTTCTGCTTTGTAGCAGTGGCTCATTTACTAGACCTGGAACACTTGACTAGGAACCCTTGTGACTTGTCAACATATCCCTAAATGTCTCATATGAATGAATGAATGAATGGTAATCTTGGTTGGTTTATGTAACTCAATGGCATTTTGTAGATGCTAAGGAGCAATCACTTTAGCTGTGTTATGGTTTGAGAGCACCACAAGTCCAATGTCTTATAAACAGACTAGATTGTTGTTCAGTGATTATTGATTATTCAGCAAACATGTTTGAGTACTGCTCTGCTAGAAACTGTATTATGCACTTGCATGCATATGGTGGAGGAGGGATAATGGGAAATGAGAACATTTTGTTTCCTAATCTTGTCAGGCTTATAGCCTAACAGATGAGACAGAATATAAACAGGAAGTCTGTAAGGCAGTGTGGTGGAAGAATAATACCATGATGGAGGAAGTGCACAGTGTTATGGGAGAACATAGCAGTGGCATCTGACCAATTTTAAGGGAATCCAGGACAGCTTTCCGGAAGCTGAGGAAAGAGTAAAAGCCAAGTGAATCAAAGTGATAGTATGTATGTGTTTTGGGGGTTGGGGCTAATGTAGGAGGATGGTCTTCAGGGAGGGGGAGAAAATTATGAAAGATCCTAAGGTAAGAGAGGAAGTTCATGGGAGTGGGGATGGGAATATGGGGCAAAGGACAGGGACATGAAGAGAGTAAATTTGTTCAAAGAACAAGAGTAATTGGTTCCTGAAGGGCACTAATAGGCCAAGTAAAGGAATTTGGATTTTATCCTAAGGGTAATACTATAGGAAGCCACTGGTGTCCAAATGTCACTACCCCCTCCCTAATGACAACACTCGTTTCTTCCTCTTTTGACTTTTATCTTTTACTTTTTTTTTTTTTTTTTTTTTTTTTTTTTTGAGACGGAGTCTTCCTCTGTTGCCCAGGCTGGAGTGCAGTGGCGCAATCTCAGCTCACTGCAACCTCCGCTTCTAGGGTTCAAGTGATTCTCCTGCCTCAGCCTCCTGAGTAGCTGGGATTACAGGTATGTGCCACCACGCCTGGCTAATTTTTGTATTTTTAGTAGAGATGGGGTTTCACCATATTGGTCAGACTGGTTTCAAACTGCTGAGGCCAAAGCAGGCTGATCACTTGAGGCCAGGAGTTCGAGACCAGCCTGGCCAACATGGTGAAACCCCATCTCTACTAAAATTACAGAAAATTAGCCAGACATGGTGCCCTGCACCTCTAGTTTCAGCTACTCGGGAGGCTAAGGCAGGAGAATCACTTGAATTCAGAAAGTGAAGGTTGCAGTGAGCCGAGATCACGCCACTGCACTCCAGCCTGGGCGACAGAGCAAGACTGTCTCAAATCAAAACAAAAATAGTGAAACTATCTGACAATGGGGGAATAAATTAATGGAGCATCATACCATGAAATACTGTGTAAGCTTTAGAAGTCATGTTTTAGAAAACGATTTAACAACATGAAAAAGTGCTTTTAATAGTAAGTGAAAAAAAATGTGATGCACAACTGAATATAGAGTTTAATTTCAAGTTTTATAATGTTTGGAAGGAAATATTCCAAAATATTAAATAGATATTTATTTCATTAATTTTGTTTGGTTTTTATTTTCCAAATTTTATACCAGGAGTATTCTTCTGTAATTAGGGAAAAAGTTACAATGTTTTGCCTTGCCAGCCATTATTAAGCAAGCCAAGAGTTCTGTTTGAACTTAATATGACTAAATCTTAGGAAACAACTTCTGTATCCAACTTCAGTCAGACAATGATTTTTTTTTTTTTTTTTTTTTTAGTAAAAACTCCTTTTTTTTTTTTGAAACGGAGTCTCACTCTGTTGCCCTGGCTGGAGTGCCGTGGTGTGATCTCCGCTCACTGCAACCTCCACCTCCCGGGTTCACGCCACTCTCCTGCCTCAGCCTCCCGAGTAGCTGGGACTACAGGCGCCTGCCACCATGCCCGGCTAATTTTTTTGTATTCTTAGTAGAGATGGGGTTTCACCGTGTTAGCCAGGATGGTCTCAATCTCCTGACCTCGTGATCTGCCTGCCTCGGCCTCCCAAAATCAAGCTGGGATTACAGGCTTGAGCCACCCGCGCCCGGCCCTTCAGTAAAAACTCTTTATTCATTCCTTCATCGCGTGACAGTTGGCCTTGAGTATTTACAAAGAGCAGTTCCTGCCTCTCAGAACTCTAAGCAGACATTCCAGAGCTCACAGATCAGTGCCACACCAACTGCTACCTGGAAGCTTCAGGGAGATGGGGAGCCTGGAGGAGGGGATGCTGCAGGAACCCTGGCAGGCAGTGGGGTCGGGCTTTGAAGGCACCCAGGACTGAATTCAAGATGGCAGGGGGCAAGCAGGCAGGCAGCGTGTTGGTCATGAGGTGCGGGGTGAGGGCAGGAAGCCCACAGCATTACTGACTTGGGGTTGGAAGAGACAGATTGTAGGGGCCTGAGCTGAAGCCAGAGCCTGAGGGAACTGGAGAGGCTGTAAGCCAGCACTTAGCTTCCCAGGAGACCCCAACCATTGCTGGATCCAGAGTGCCCTGGGAGAACGTCAGGTATCCACACATATTTCAGTGGAAGATTCTTTTTCCAAACATTTGCTGGTTCTTTGGGTTTTTAATTATAAACAGAGTACATGATCAATGTTAAAACCATTTTCCAAGCATCACATAAGGATGGGAAGTAAAAATTATATCCTGCTCTAGACCTTCCAGACTGGCTCCAGAAGGCAACTGCTGTCAGTGATTTTCCTTACAGAGAAACCACTGCAGCCACCTACTGTGTGCCATGGCCCCGACACAGCATGGCGTCTTGCCCCACACGGACCTGCAGGTGGCCTCTTAGGAGCTGCCTCGCTGAAGGAGGTCATCCCTCTCAGTCACATCTGAGCAGCACTCACTCAGGCCTCGGCCCTGAGGGTCATGCGGGGGCGCCTGGCCCAGTTCCCTGCTGTGTCTGGTCTGGCGTCTATCTGCCTTTGGGCTACCTTTTCAGCACAGCTCCCTGGGCCTGTGGCTGCTCCAAGCTGGACTCCAGCTCCCCTGGGCTGCAGTGCTGCTCCCTATGGTCCAGAAACAAGGCCCGGCACGGCGGCTCCCAGCTTAGCAGCATCTCTGGCGCAGGCTGGCCCAGGAGCTCCCTGCAGAGTGCTGCCCATTGACTCAGCCCCAGCTGTACTCAAGTCCGTCCGAGAACCGGGCTGGCTGGGGTGCCTCTGACGGAGCTTCCCTTTTCTCCAAGCCTTGCTGAATTTCCTGAGGAAAAGCACGATGTTCTCCTGGACACAAGGGAGGCAGAATCTCTTGAAGTAGAATAAACTGCACTCCTTTCTAGTCTTCCTTTCTCAGCTTCTCCTGGACCGCCAGCTCCTCAATGCGCCTCAGACACTCCATACCCGCACTGAGGAGGCTCCTCCTGCCCTGGCCCATCTCATGCCCCCTTGGCTGTTGATACAGCTCCCCTGTGTGCATGTCGCCCTGTGCCAGATGCTCAGGGACTTCTCAGACTCCTGGATCACTCCGAGTACACTGGCCACGCAACCTGATGCACAAACTGCAGTGCCAGCCAAGGACCAGGAATCTGACCTTGTCGGAGATGAAGGGATCCTTCATGACAGCTTTCCTCCAGGACTATCGACTGGGTGTAGGGAGCTGTCAAGGCATAGAGTTCACACTCAAACACTCCCAGAGCGCGGCACTCTGCATGAGACGCCATCCAGCTCCTTTGACTACGGAATCAAGTACAACATTATCAGCTGGCCTCTAGCTCCTGGTTGTGACCTCCCCTCTCCTGAACTGAGCTTGGTGTGTAAGGGCGTATCGAGTTGTATGGGCTTCGCCGCTGGGTGACCCCAAATGCAACTCCGGGAAGCGTGGGTTACCAATGACTTTAAAGTTTCGATCAGCCGAGCGCGGTGGCTCTCGCCTGTAATCTCAGCACTTTGGGAGGCCGAGGCGAGTGGATCACGAGGTCAGGAGTTCAAGACCAGCCTGGCCAACATGGTGAAACCCCCGTCTCCACTAAAAATACAAAAATTAGCCAGGCGTGGTGGCGGGCGCCTGTAGTCCCAGCTACTCTGGAGGCTGAGAGGGGGAGAATCGCGTGAACCCGGGAGGCGGAGCTTGCAGTGAGCCGAGATCGCGCCGCTGCACTCCAGCCTGGGCGACAGAGCGAGACTCCGTCTCAAAAAAAAAAAAAGTTACTATCCGATCGCGGGCGTGCGTGAACCTGATCCCGCTTCTCTTCTGAACACCCGGGCGTCCGAGGCCCCTGCCGAGGCTCCTGGGGGCAGCGTCTGTGAGCAGGGACCGCTGAGCGGGTCCGGGGGCGGTAGTGGTCCCCGCGAGCCTCCGCGCGCCCTCACTCGCCCCAGCGCCGCCCGAGGTCAGGGGGGACCGTCCCGCGAGGCCGACACCCCGCTCCTCCATCGGGTCCCCAAAGCCGAGCTGCCGCGCCGACCCCTGGCGCTCAGAGCACAGCAGGCCACGCCAGTGGGGAACTCAGTCCCGGCGAGTAGGAGGTGCCCTGAGGCGGCGCTGGACCGGCCCACGGCGTGCTCGCCCCCACCAGGCCGCCGCCGCTCATGATTCTTTTTTTTTTTTTTTCTGAGATGGAGTCTTGCTCTGTCGCCCAGGCTAGAGTGCAGTGGCGCAATCTCGGCTCACTGCAAGCTCTATGTGGCTGCTTGAAAGCTCTACGCTGAAAAATACTGTTATTTTTGACATAATTGAGTGTTGGATTTTAGCAGAAGTCCTGACCTCTTTTTGCTTAGTACTTTAATATTAAAGATGATTATAATAAAGTTTATTATAAAATAAATACTTTTTTTTTTTTTTTTTTTGAGACAGAGTCTCCCTCTGTAGCCCAGGCTGGAGTGCAGTGGCACCATCTCGGCTCATTGCAAGCTCCGCCTCCCGGGTTCACGCCATTCTCCTGCCTCAGCCTCCTGAGTAGCTGAGACTACAGGCGCCCGCCACCGCGCCCAACTAATTTTTTGTATTTTTATAGAGAAGGGGTTTCACTGTGGTCTGGATCTCCTGACCTCGTGATCCGCCCACCTCGACCTCCCAAAGTGCTGGGATTACAAGCGTGAGCCAAAAATAAATACATTATTTATAGCTGTTGTGTGCTGGATGAAGCTAGGCCAGATAAGCGCGGGGGTCGTAAAGTATTTGACCTTGTTTGTGTCAAGAGGCTTACAAACTAGTTTTCCCACCTGACACAAATAAATATAAAATACCAAACCTTCTATTAGAAAGTGTGAATTATACATGAGAAACCATCAATTATATGATACATGTGAGAGGAGTTGTGCACAGTTAGGAAGAGAAGAGCTCTTCATTGACTGGTGTTTGGTATTTCTGTGTTTCTGTCCCAGAGCAGCAGCATATGGCAGTGGAATAGCATAGTTTTTTGTTTGTTTGTTTGAGACTGAGTTTCACTCTTGTTGCCCAGGCTAGAGTGTAATGGCGCGATCTTGCCGCAACCTCTGCCTCCCGGGTTCAAGCGATCCTCCTGCCTCAGCTTCCTGAGTAGCTGGGATTACAGGCATGCGCCACTACGCCTGGCTAATTTTGTATTTTCAATAGAGACGGGGTTTCTCCGTTCTGGTCAGGCTGGGCTCGAACTCCCGACCTCAGGTGATCCACCTGCCTCAGCCTCCCCAAGACCTGGGATTACAGGCATGAGACACCACGCTTGGCAGCATAGACCTTTTAATACATAGGTTGAAGTATTTATCACAGCGACAGATGGAAAATTTTTTTCTGAAGAAAATATATTTTCAGATCAATATGTGACTTAATTTTAAAAATTATTATATTAATTGTTGCTCTTTTTCTTTCAGGCTTATCGAAGTTTTGGCTTTGTTGCAAGAGCAGGTCAAGATTTAACTTTTCTTCAGTGAGCAAGTGTGCAGATTGTCAAATATGTCAGTTCATCAAATAAGAAAACGTGCAGTTCTCCCACCTATCATTTGTAGAAGTGACAAGGAATTTTTGGAAAGTATGCAAAGATACATAATTACAGAAACTGAAAGACTGGGCTGTAATGAGGAAGGACCTGCTGATGAATATTACATCATATACCGAAATGTTTTTGATAAGGTATCATAATGCTCTTAAAACAATTAAGTTTTCATGAAGATAGCAATGATCTATGTTGACAACCAATATTCCTGCTTTAGTAACACTACTGTTTGAATGATCACATTCCATTTGCCGATTTTGAGACGTTCATCCAGTTTCTCAGAAAGGCATGAATGGGAAAAATGCACTTCTGGATTTGTATTTCCTGACTGTGAATGAGTGTTTCAGTTATCTTAGCTTGAGAGCAGATTATAAGTTTCCTTTATATATATTTTTAAAGACAGAGTCTCACTGTATCACCCAGGCTGGAGTGCAGTGGCACACTCATATCTCACTGCAGCCTCAAAATCCTGGGTTCAAGTGATCCTCCTGCCTCAGCCTCCTGTATAGCTGGGACTACAGGCTTGTGCCGCCACTCCTGACTAATTTTTAAATTTTTTTGTAGAGACAAGATCTCTATGTTGCCTAGGCTGGTCTTGCACTCCTGGCCTCAAGCAATCTTCCTATCTTGGCCTCCTAAAGTGCTGGGATTACAGGCATGAACTACCAGCACCTAGCCCAGACTATCAGTTTTTGATTAACTACCTGGCTGTATCTGCTCTCTGATAATAATTTTGACCTTTTCATCTAAAAGTATCATCTGATTTATTAGGAATTAGGCTGCAAGCAGGAGCATGATGCTTCCTTGTTATTTTGAGTTTGTTTGTGGTATCATTAAAATCTTGATTTAGATTTGATCTAACATTAAATTGAGGTTCCTTGTATATTGGAGTTCTGTCTAGAATTATCTAGTCATGGTTTACAAGGAATTAGACTGGACTTAATATTGGAAATATGGAGATCAGCTTAGAAAATGCTATCACTTTGTGGAACATATTTGATTTTGCTTTTTAAGGTTTTAGAAATACCTATTATCCTTCTAAACAATTGCAGTTTGCCCACCAATCCTAATTTATTTATGCAGCGCTTTTTTTTCCACCCCATTCCGGGAAGATGCCCTGACAGTGAAATAAGTGAAATCAGCATCTTTCCTCTTTGCCAGAGGAAGTACTTACCTTAAGACTTCAGAAAGTGTTGGTCTCTGAGTAAACAGCCACAGGCAAAATAGAAACTCAGTCTTTTAATTTTTAAACATTATACACTATGACTCTTATTTCTCCTCTAAATAAAAACCTAGTGCCTCACTCTAAGGGAAAGTGAGCATATGATAGTGATATATACCTACCAGAATAAGGAAAGTTGATACATAATCATAGGAGTAATAGAGAGAAACAGTCTTTCCTTCCTTCCTTTTTTTTTTTTTTTTTTGAGACGGAGTCTCACTCTGTGGCCCAGGCTAGAGCGCAGTGGCGCAATCACGCGATTTCGGCTCACTGCAAGCTCCGCCTCCCGGCTTCACACCATTCTCCTGCCTCAGCCTCCCAAGTAGCTGGGACTACAGACGCCCGCCACCACGCCCGGCTAATTTTTTGTATTTTTAGTAGAGACCGGGTTTCACCGTGTTAGCCAGGATGGTCTCGATCTCCTGACCTTGTGATCCGCCCGCCTAGGCCTCCCAAAGTGCTGGGATTACAGTCGTGAGCCACCGTGCCCGGCCTTTCCTTCCTTTTATGTCATACAGAAAATCTATCTTTTAGAATTGGTACATCGGCAGGTTAGCTTCATTTTATATGCGTTATGATCAATGATACTGCTCTTGGTGTTTTAGTTATCAAGGAATGTATTGAATGGATGTTTAAATAAAGATAATGTATTGAATAGGTTTTATAAATATCAAGAGTCATGCTGCGACTCTACTGTGTGAAATTAGCAAAGTCATAACTGTAACGTGTATCTTTGCATGCCCGAGTGCTAACACTTGTCAGAATTTTTCTTACATGAAGAGCTCTTTGCTTTGCATTAATGTAGTTATAGTGAAGTCATTTTGGAGGTATTGTTGGTAACTTTAATTCCTAGAGAAAACATACAGTGTTAAATAGAAAATAATATTGACGTCTCTAGTCCCTGTTTCTTTTCTCCTAGTGAGGAGAAAAGATTTCCATTTGTACTATTTGCACATTACATAATTGTAAATTTTACCTTGTAAAGAATTCTGTTCTTCAGGACTGAGAGGGGATCTAGAAATGGAAGTCATTTGGTACTTTGAGAAACTTTTCTTCTAGCTTCTTGATAACAGATAATTTACCTTTTTCATTTTCTTTTTTTTTTTTTTTTTTTTTTTTGAGACGGAGTCTCACGCTGTTGCCCAGGCTGGAGTGCAGTGGCGCGATCTCGGCTCACTGCAAGCTCCGCCTCCTGGGTTCCCGCCATTCTCCTGCCTCAGCCTCCTGAGTAGCTGGGACTACAGGCGCCCGCCACCGCGCCCGGCTAATTTTTTGTATTTTTAGTAGAGACGGGGTTTCACTGTGGTCTCGATCTCCTGACCTTGTGATCCGCCCGCCTCGGCCTCCCAAAGTGCTGGGATTACAGGCTTGAGCCACCGCGCCCGGCCACCTTTTTCATTTTCACATTATTTTAGCACCTTTGATTATTAATGAACTATTAATGACTGTCTTCTTTGATCTTCCTACCCTCTTAAAAGGAACTAGTTGGGCAGAAGATACAAGTGTCAGCTTGCCTCTCTGGGTACTTTGAACCAGGGAACAAATACCAAATTGTGTTTAAAATCAAAGATAGATGGTTTGACCTGGAGAATCATGCCTGAATCAAAGCAAGGAGGACTTGAAACTCATACCAAGAGTTGGGGGTGGATTGCAGGGTGAATGAAAAACCTAGTAAGCAAAGAAGACCAAAGCTTGGAAGAATGAGCTTTTTTAGAAATGGATGACTTACTCGGCTGGGTGCAAGAGCTCGTGTCTGTAATCCTAGAACTTTGAGAGGATTGGTAGGAGCATCGCTTGAGGCCAGGAGTTTCAGACCAGCCTGGGCAACATAGCAAGACTCTGTCTCTACCAAAAAAGAAAAGGGGAGCGGGGCTGTGGAGGTAGCTGGACTCTGTAAAGTGGCTGACCTTTTGTGTTCCTGTAGCATATTGTACAAATAGTTCAGATCCGTATGTAGGAGCTGAGGGGGAATGAAAACCATACCTCTTCTCCCTCAGACCCCTGTAACTGGTAAGTATAGCTATGGTTATTTTCTTGGATTTAGTAGCAGCCTTAATGCAGGGTTCTCAAACTTAAATGCCTGCAGAGGCCACCAAGGTAATATAAAAGAGTTAAGTGGGCTGGCTATAAGAGAATAAGGAGTGGTGGGGATTGTGGTAAAATGAAAAACCAACCTAATCGAAAACTCCAGCTATTATTGCCATTAAGGAATAGGGGTTCCATGGAGGTAGATTTTTCAGAGTTTGCAAGAGAAGCTGAAAATGTGGTTTTGGGGTGAAATTTCCTAAATTTTAAAATATTTTGTTGGTTAAGCAAAATTGCCAGCTGTATTCAACCTGTGGTGTGCCAGTTTGCATATTCTACTTTAGTGTATTTTCTGTGCATTCATAAAGGTTCCCATGAGTGCTCTTCTGAAATCTGTTTCTTCTAGCAAACAGACTTGGGAGCTGATCATGATACCACTACATATTTATTATCTACTCATTAATGTATATGAGCTGTCTTGGATTGTTGGAGCATATCAGAGGAGTGTATGAAGCAGATGGCCAGGAGCAACAGGGTACTTAATTTGGAAAGCCACAGATTGATGACCTCCGTTTTATTAAAGATTCTTGATATGGGTGGATAGGTAGTGTAGTCATCTCCATGGCACTTGCCAGGAGATCAATAATCTCCTTGTATCATTTGCTGATAGACCAGATGCCTTCCTAGATAATTTTTTCTAGATATTGCCTAGGTAAAGAAAGCCAGTGGGGGATACCAGCGGCTAGAGATGTAGAAGGAATAGGAAGCATAATTGCAGCTTTCTGAGAAAATTAGGGATTGAGCCTGTCTATTCTCTGTATTCATCAATCCCTCTGAAATCCTCATGTGCAGAACTTGGAAACCATACATTATTTATAACTTTTCTATTTTTATTTTTTGACTTATTTAAAAATATTTCTTTATTTTTGCATGGGTAATGCATATATAATATTAACAAAAAATGAATAAATAAACCAGTACAGGAGATTGTACAATGGAAAGTCTGGCCCTTCTCATCACAGATTCTACTTCTCCAGTCCTTCTCTGCAGGCACCCACTGTTTCTGTTTTCTTCTGTTATCCTTCCAGAGATTTTCTGTGCCTAAACACCATTTGAAGCCATGAATGTATAGTGATGAGGGATTTTTCACAGTTGCACATGACATCCTGGGATTAGAAATGCAATTAGATATTGAGAATATTGATGAGCCAATAGGAGCTGATGGGTTAGAAAAATAAGAAGGTGAAGAGAATCTAGGATTTTAAGGTTTAAATGAAGTTAGAGACTAGATTTGGAGGGAGTAAGAGAAGATACAGAATTATATTTAAAAGATTCAGAATTGGGAAAATTAGAACTAGTATTAGTTTTAACTGAAATCATATAATGTATGTGTTCATACCAAGTAGAACAAAAATGTGGTCATTTTTTCCTCTCATATTTAAACTCCACATTATCTACCATAATGTTCCACAAAGAGCACATATTTAGTAAATATTGCCTTTAGTGTCCAATTATGTTTGAGCTTGCTGTAAAGTTTAGATTTCTAATTGCTAATCATATTTCATTTTAAAAATAATCTATAATGTTATTTGTGAGAATTTCAATCCATAGTCTTTTAGAAAAAAATATCAATACCATAGGCAGAAAAATAATATTTCAGGTAATAGAGCATGTCACTGCATACAAATCCATTCTTACTTCAATCAAAAAAGAATATGATGCCTTTATTGAGACAATAAAGAAAGGCCGAAGAACTGCATTTTGTCTTCATGGAAAACTTAAAGGTTTGGCAGCAGAGCCTACAGCTTTGGTATATCACAGGAAAAGAACAATCCAACTTGAAGCAAAGTAAGTATTTTAGTAACTAGCCCAAAAGATAGTAGTTCTTGCTTGATTATAATAACTAGCAGTGTAACTCTAGCCGGTGGCTCTTAGTCTTATTTTTCAATTTTACTTAAAAGACACATTTTTATGTTACCTTCTCCTAGTAACTTAAAGTTACTGTATTATTTACTTCAATTAAAAAATATTACTTTTGTTTGAGAACTTATAGTACCTCAGTGTGTATATATATATATATATATTTTTTTTTTTTTTTTTTTTTTTTTTTGAGGCAGGGTTTCATTCTTGTTGCCCAGGCTGGAATGCAGTAGCTTGATCTTGGCCCACTGCAACCTCTGCCTCCCAGGCACAAGTGATCCTCCCACCTCAGCCTCCCAAGTAGCTGGGAGTACAGGCAAAAGCTACCATACCTGGCTAATTTTTGTATTTTTTTTTTTTCTGTAGAGGTGGAGTTTTGCTATGTCAGGCTAATTTTTGTATTTTCTGTAGAGATGGGGTCTTGCCATGTTGCCCAGGTTGGTCTCCAACTTGTGAGCTCAAGTGATCTGCATGCCTTGGCCTCCCAAAGTGCTGGGATTACAGGCATGAGCCACCACTCCTGCCCCTCTTAGTATAATTGAAAGCACATTGTCGTATCATAAAATGAGGGTCCACATAGGGTGGCTCATCACCTGTAATCCCAGCACTTTGGGAGGCCGAGGTAGGAGGATTGCCTGAGCCCAGGAGTTTGAGATCAGCCTGGGCAACATGGTGAGTCCCTGTCTTTACAAGTTCAAAAAAAAATTAGCTGGGTGTGGTCCCAGTTGGTTGGAAGGCTGAGGTGGGAGGATTGGTTAAGCCTGAGAGATGGAGACAAGTGAGCCACGATTGCACCACTGCACTCCAGCCTGGGTGACAGAGTGAGAACCCATCTCAAGGGAAAAAAAAAAAAGGACTAAAATAAAATAAATAAGGGATACAGGTAATTGCTCCAGGTAATTTCCTCCATGGAAGATTTAATAGTATAATTTCATAATTACTATCTGAATTAGAGCACTTAATCCTGTTATTCACAAAGGTAAATAACCTACTGGGAGAGGATAAGATGCTCAATCTTGTTGAGTAGTCTTATATTTTCAGTATTACATTTGGTCAATGATGGATAAATTATTTTTATAGATAATTTTTTTTTTTTTTTTGAGATGGAGTTTTGCTCTTGTCCAGGCTGGAATGCAATGGCGTGATCTTGGCTCATGGCTCACTGCAACCTCCGTCTCCCAGATTCAACCGATTCTCCTGCCTCAGTGTCCCAAGTAGCTGGGATTACAGGTTCCCGCCACCACGCCCGTCTAATTTTTCTTTTTGTATTTTTAGTAGAGATGGGGTTTCACCATGTTGGCCAGGCTGGTCTTGAACTCCTGACCTCAGGTGATCCGCCCACCTCAGCCTCCCAAAGTGCTGGGATTACAGGCATGAGCCACTGTGCCCAGCCTTTTATAGATAATTTTAAATCAACTTGGAAAACTATGCAAAGTTTGACCTCTATTTCTGGTAATATGGCTGGCTAGATGTTGAGATAGACCTTTCTACTGGGGAAAAACACTACATAATATATTTTTTCAAAAATCTTTCCAAAAGCATCAGAAAGTCAGAATCAAGGCATAATCTAACAGAAGACAAAAGATAAGTGGAGCACTAAAACTGCTTTGACCCCGAGAACACTTTTTACAAAACTAGTCACCATAATTTTCAGTTTTTACTATCGCATGCAGAATAAAAACCAAAGCCCAGGATCGCTCCACATGGTATAGTCTATTGGGAAACACTCACCATATAAAGCTGGATGGTAAAAGGCTAGGTATACCATCGTAGGGTGAACCAGAGGTAAACTGCTCCAACCCTGGGAATGCAGGGAAAATTGCCCTTTACTCAGCTGATTGCTGATGGGTATATAGTTTATTTTGGGCCAATGAAATGTTCTGGAATTAAATAGTGGTTGTGGTTGCACAACTATACTAAAATTCCTTGAATTATGTATACTTTACAAGGATGATTCTTAAGGTGTGTGAACTATATCTCAATAAAGCTATTATAAAACGATATGGAGGACAGAGTGAGAAGGTCATATTATTATGTCTAATCACAGCTCTACAATGAAGAGAATATGGGACACAGACAATATTTGAAGAAATAATGGCTACGAGTTTTCTGTCTTCTGTTAGATTTTGCCCTGATTTTGACTTTCTTTTGGAAAGATTTTTTAAAAATATATTATGTAGTACTTTTTCCCAATAGGAAGATCTATCTCAGCATCTAGCCAGTCATATTACCAGAGATGGAGGTCAAACTTTGCATAGTTTTCCAAGTTGACTTAAAATTATCTATAAAAATAATGTATCCATCATTTACCAAATGTAACACTGAAAATATGTGAAAGATACGGATTCACAGATTCAACAAACCCAAAGAATCCCAAGCATGATAAATACTAAGAAATACTCAACTAGGTTCATCTTAGTGAAGTTGTCAAAAAAAGAGATCATAAAATTAGCATAGAAGGGAGCAACAGTTAGATACTTTCTCATCCATGTGATAACATGTATTAGAATTTAATTCCTTTTTATGGCTGAATAATACTCCATTGTATGTATGTACTACATTTTGTTTATCCATTCATCTGTTTTTCAACACTTGGATTGTTTCCATTTTTGTCTATGTGAATAATGCCACTCTGAAAATTCATGTACAAGTATCTGCTTTCAGTTTCTTTTGAAAACCTGCCTTTTTTTTTTTTTTAACATATCTTTCGTTTATAAGCACAAATCAATTTGGAATAAAGCCAGTGGATATTTTATTCCCACAATCCTTTCATTAATACTGCAAGCTCTTACTCTGAGCCATCAATAGTTACCAAGAACACTATATAATAATCAGAAGCAGCAGCCAGCAGTATCTACTGACAAACTTGTTTTTTATTTTATTTTTTATTTTTGAGACGTAGTCTTGCCCTGTCATCCAGGCTGGAGTGCAAAGGCATGATCTCAGCTCACTGCGACCTCCACCTTCCAGGTTCAAATTATTCTCCTGCCTCAGCCTTTCAAGTAGCTCGGATTACAGGTGCCCACCATCACACCCAGCTAACTGTTGTATTCTTAGTAGAGATGGGGTTTCACCATGTCGGTCAGGCTGGTCTCAAACTCCTGACCTCATGATCTGCCTGCCTCGGCCTCCCAAAGTGTTGGGATTACAGGTGTGAACCACCGAGCCTGGCCCAAACTTGTTTTTAATTTGCCAAAAACACTGTGACATTTATATATTGACAAAAATTATCTTCCTGATCAAATTTTACTCAGGCTTCCCTGAACCCTTTTCAACTAGGCCCGACTTTTGGACTTCTACATTCATCTCTGCACCATTCCGTTTTAGCAAGAATCCTGTAAAGTAAGTTTAGCCAGAACTCCCCATCCATGACATGTGATCCCCGAACCATCCTCCAGGTGATGTCTAATTACCGTGGCCTGCCTTCAACAGGAATCCTCTTAGGTCCATTGATCCAGAATCTCTCCTCACATCTCATGTTTTCTTTTAGTAATTTGTCATCCACTGACCCCACCTTGCTCCTTAGCTATAAATTCCCACTTGCCATGTCATATTCAGATTGAATCCAATCATTCTCCGTTGCAGTGGTTCCTGTACCTATTGGCATGGCCCCTCTTGAAAAAAGTCTTCCTTACCATGCTTTAACAAGTGTCAAAAATAATTTTTCTGTGTGTATTTTAATATGTTATTTCTCCCTTGGGCCAACGTAACTAGGAAGAAAACTTCAAATAATGCTTAAGAAAAGTTTATACTACCTTTTGGTATTCAAAATTTTCATTTCTAGGTAAACTTAGTTTTATCTCAGGGAAGTGCTGTCCTTCCTCTAGCTCTAGGGTCAAAATTACTGTAGTGGGCTGAATAACAGTTCTCAAAGACATCAGGTCCTACTCTCTAGAACCCCTAAATGTTAACCTTATTTGGACAAAGGGTCTTTGCAGATGTAATTAAAGTTTTTGATACAGGGAGGTTATAAAAGTAAGCCCTAAATATGATCATAAATGTCCTAATAAGAGGGAAATAGGAGCTTTGCCACAGGCAGAGGAGAAGGCAGTATGACCACAGAGGCAGAGACTGAAGTGATAAAGTCAGAATGCCTGCAGCCCCAAGGCTGGAAAAGGTAAGGAACAGATTCTGAAGGAAGCATGGCTCTGCCAACACTTTGATTTTGGTCCGGTGATACTGATTTTGAATTTCTGGCTTCCAGAATTGTAAGAGAATAAATTTCTGTTGTTTGAAGTCACCAAGTTAGTGGTAATTTGTTACAGTTGCCACAGGAAATTAATATAATTACCTACCAAAAGAATTTTTAAATTACAAAAGTAATTTTCTGCTAAAGAGAATAGTTTGTGGCCATATTATTGTGATTAGCACTTATGAATTTCCAGTAGGGTTCAGAATCATAGTATGAGATTTTATTGATGCTCAGAAAGAAAATTGTTCCTCATTTGTGAGGCTAGATAACTTTTTCAGGGCATTTCACCTAGTCCATAATGGTTCAAAATAAAGTAATGATTTAAACTGTTTTACTTGAGGTTTTGTGGTTCAAGAATTAAGTTAGTTGAAAGACATAATAAAGCCTTTCTGTTTTCCAGAATGAGGATTATTGAAAATAATTCCTCGAAGATTCAATCTCAAATAGATCAAATCAAGCAGTCTAGGGCAGCGTATGACACGAAAGAAGTAAAATATTGTACTTTCTCCAAAGATCCTTCAAAACCTATTCCAGGTATTGTATTTTGTTTAAAATATTTGAGAGAAATCCTGATTATTTCCATTTTTTTACCTAAGCCACGCATTATTATAAATGTGCTGATGTATGTGCATCTTGCACATGTGTGTTGTACACAATTTTAGTCAGGACTCTAGGTAGATTCAAGGGAATGGAAAAACAAACTCTAAAAGATTGAGTTTCAGTCAGCTGGGTTATATAAAGTGTAATGCAGTGGCTCCTGAAGTGTGGTTCCTGTATCAATGTCAGCATCACCTAAAGACCTCTTAGAAATGCAAATTCATGGTTCCCATCAGATCAGAGACTTCACTGTGTCAGAAACTCGATGGGTGGAGTTCAGCAGTGTCTTAACAAGTCCTTCAGGATTTTCTTTTCTTTTTCTTTTCTTTTTTTTTTTTTTTTTTGACACCTAGTCTCTCTCAGGCACCCAGGCTGGGCGTGCAGTGGTGTGATCTCGGCCCATAGCAACTTCCCTCTCCAGGGTTCAAGCGATTCTTGTGCCTTGGCCTCCCAAGTAGCTGGGATTATAGGTGTGTGCCACTATGCCCAGCTAATTTTTGTGTTTTTAGTAGAGACGAGGTTTCATCATGTTGTCCACGCTGGTCTCAAACTCCTGGGCTCAAGCGATCCACCCGCCTCAGCCTCCCAAAGTGCTGGGATTAAAGGCGTGAGCCACTGTGCCCAGCCACTTCAGGTTTTTTTGATGCACTCTAAAGTTTGAGAACCATTGGTATAATATAAAGTAAACTGTAGTGTATTAAGTTTTGGTGGATATTGTTGATTCATGTTGATGTCAGCATTCACTGCTTCCACATTTTCAGCATAATACTGTTGCCATATTTTAAGAAATTGTAGTATATCCTGGAATTCATCTAGGATATGGAGAGGTTTTTACGATGAGTGGATAGAGGAATTACAAATATTCATCCTGGAAAAAAGAAAGACTTTGAGAATACATAATGGTATTCCAAACTTTTAAAGATTTTGGCTAGTGTTTATTCTGAGGCAGGATTAATAGGTAGAATTTTAGGAAGCCAGATTTGGTCTCGGTGGAAGAAGCTATGTCTTGAAGTAATGAGCTACTCTATACTAGAGGATTTCAACTGAGGTTGAATAATCATCTTGTGTTTCATAAAAGTGGGGACTAGATTCACTTTCTTTTTTTTTTGAGACGGAGTTTCGCTCTGTCACCCAGGCTGGAGTGCAGTGGCCCGATCTCGGCTCACTGCGAGCTCCGCCTCCTGGGTTCACACCATTCTCCTGCCTCAGCCTCCCGAGTAACTGGGACTACAGGTGCCTGCCACCACACCTGGCTAATTTCTTTGTGTTTTTAGTAGAGACGGGGTTTCACTGTGTTAGCCAGGATGGTCTCGATCTCCTGACCTTGTGATCCACCCGCCTTGCCCTCCCAAAGTGTTGGGATTACAGGCGTGAGCCACCGTGCCCGGCCTAGATTCACTTTCAAATATAAAATTGTGACTAGCAAATGATGAATAAGATACACATTAATAAGTACGGTATAACTGGCAAATTGCGACTAAGTGCTGAGAAGATTCTGGGTAAGGGACTGGTTAAAATCAAGTAGAATCAATTCAGGTAAGTTTTTGGAGGAGGAGTATTTTGTGATATGTACTGAAGTCAACAATTGGCCCAGATGAGAAAGGAAGATTATTTAGGGCTGGGCACAGTGGCTCATGCCTGTAATTACTTTGGGATGCTGAAGTGAGAGGATCTCTTGAGCCCAGGAGTTTGAGACCAGCCTGGGTAGACCCTGTGAGAGTCTCTCTCTCTCTCTCTCAAAGGCATTTGAAGAGAAAGAGAGAGAGGAATAATAAGTAGAGGGGACAGTGAGAGAGAGGACTGAAGATTTGGCAGGCATTTATATTTGTGTTGGGAATAATAAACTGATTACTCTGGGGTTCGCTATAATAGGGTAATGAGAGATTTGTTTAGAGAGAAATCAGTTGACAAATCCTGAATTGTTAGGCAGAAGCTCTTGGTGTTACTGAGTAAGAGTGATATTTAGGGGTCTTCAGGGTATGTTAATGAAATCACTAAAAAAATTTTTTTCAGATGCTAAGGTTTGTGTGTTTTCAGTCTTCACTGAGTCTTCATTGATAATGTTTAAAACTGCTAGCCTGAGGCCGGGTGTGGTGGCTCATGCCTGTAATCCCAGCACTTTGGGAGGCCGAGGTGAGTGAATCACCTGAGGTCAGGAGTTCAAGACCATCCTGGCCAACATGGTGAAACCCCGTCTCTACTAAAAATACAAAAATTAGCCGGGCATGGTGGCACGCGCCTATAGTCCCAGCTACTACAGGAAGTTGAGGCAGGAGAATCGCTTGAACTGGGAGACGGATATTGCAGTGAGCCAAGATTACATCACTGCACTCCAGCCTGGGCAGCAGAGTGAGACTCTGTCTCAAAAAAAAAATAAAATAAAATAAATTAAAATAAAACTGCTAGCCTGGCCTGGCACAGTGGCTCACGCCTTTAATCCCAGCGCTTTGGAAGGCTGAAGTGGGCAGATTGCTTGAGCCCAGGAGTTTAAGACTAGACTGTCTCTATACAATCAATCAATCAATCAATAATAACCTGCTAGCCATTTACAAGTTTATGCTAGTTTTACCTATGTTCAGTAAGCTGTAAGTACATACTATCATTTCTAAATTGTTTCTTAACATAGTGAACTGTCTTTCTAAGACTTGCTCTTTGAACACAGACGTCCCACACATGGCTTGGCCTGTTTGATTTGTTCCCTTTTCCCATAGGCATGACTCTCCAAGAATCCATGAATCTAGATGCTCTCACTAAATATATGAAACATCTTGAAGATAAATATGCAGAAATTAAACAAGCTATGTTGATAAAATATGTGCCAGCTCAGAGGAAGTCTGATTTAGATGAAGAAATGATTGTGTTATTAAAACGGCGAGATGTAGCTGAAAATCTGAACAGAAAGTTACAGTTTTGGTATGGAAGTTGATCATAGGTTTTTGAAGTTTGGAGTTTTATTTGTGTTTATTCTAATATTCCACCATTTGATTTTAGGCTCAGTATGTTATTGACGTTTTTTATCTTTATAGTCATCAAAGACTGCAGATAATTTCACAGGCACTTACTTCATGGGTAAAATCTGATATGAGCAGCCCATTTCAAGACTTTGTGGAGCAAATTCAGAAAACCAAATATTTACAAGGTAGATTATCTATATTTTTAAATTAGTAGCAATAATGGAAGACATTTTTTTCCCCTAGAAAGTTAGAATGGGGTTTTCTTAGGCCGAGTTAAAAAAAAGCAAAAACATACTTCAGCTAGTTCTCTGTTACCCTATGGGTTCCTTCCTTCAACAGCTAACTAACAGGTAATTAGTAAAGAGCAGACTTGGTGAGCCAAAGACAGAATGCCTGAAAATGTACATCAACATAAAGAGGAAAGGGAGGAGGAGGCCACTAAGTTTTGGAAGAGGTTGATGCTGTTAGGATCTATAGCAATAAGTTGTTGGTATTAAACACATGTATGTTTATTGTTTTCTATTGATAAGTAACCTTAAATATCTTCCAGTGGTACTTTCAATATTTACAGGTGACCAAGGCATTGTTGAAGAACTAATGGAAGATGATCCACACAGGGCAAAAGAAGCTGAAATTATGCTTCACTACATTGAAAGGCAACTATTTTAAAAGCTTTAATTTTTCAGAATTGTATTTTTTCATAGATTCTTTGCGAATAAAATACCACATTGGGAATCTAGGAGGTTTTTCAGAGGAGATAAGAGGATTATAATGTTGATATGTTTTATTTATACAGGTTAAGCATTCCTAATCCGAAAATTTGAAATCTGAAATGCTCCAAAATCCAAAAAATTTTGAGCACTGACATGAGATAGTGAAACCTGTGTTTTCTGATGAATCAATGTACACAAACTTTGTTTCATGCACAAAATTATTAGAAGTATTATATAAAATTACCGGCTGGGCACAGTGGCTCACGCCTGTAATCCCAATGCTTTGGGAGGCTGAGGCGGGTGAATCACAAGGTCAGGAGTTCGAGACCAGCCTGGCCAACATGGTGAAACCCCATCTCTACTAAAAATACAAAAAATTAGCTGGGCGTGGTGGCGGATGCCTGTAATGCCAGCTACTAGGGAGAATGAGGCAGGAGAATTGCTTGAACCTGGGAGGCAGAGGTTGCAGTGAGCTGAGATTGTGCCACTGTACACTCTAGCCCAAGCAATGGTGCAAGACTCAAAAAAAAAAAAAAAAAAAAAGTATTACACAAAATTACCTTCAGGCTATGTGTATATGGTATATATGAAATATAAATTTTGTGTTTAGACTTGGGTCTCATCCCCAAGATATCTCATTATGTATATGCATATATTCTAAAATATGAAAAAATCTGAAATCCAAAACATTTCTGGTCCCAAGCATTTAGGATAAGGGAATCTCAACCTGTATTTTTCTTACATTTCCTAGCTATCAACCTGATGTTACAAAATGTTTTTGAGAATGTCTTCCTGATTCAGATTATTCTAGCCAATTCAGTCCTTTCTTTCTCATTATTTCTATCCCATGACTTATTAAGAAGGCATATTTCTCCCTAATACTTAAGTTATTATATATAGTATATAATAGAAAATTAAAGAGATTTAAGACTGTATCCTTTTTTATACTTTGTTTACTTTTTATCAAATATTACTTTTATCAAATCTTTTCAAGTATTCATAAAAATACAGAGAATAACATTAACAAAATGTTGTTCTGTGTACCAATTTAGCAAGAAGTTAACATTTTGCTGTATTTGCTTCAGCTGTTTTTGTAGAAGTTTGTTATAGTTAACATCCCGCTGTGTATCATTCCTCCTGTCTTCAATTCCTTTTCCCTCCTTTTTTCCCCACACAGCTGCTCCCTTGGTGTTTAACATGCACGTGCATTTTTAAACATTTTTAATACATAGTAAGACTATATTCTTTAAGAGGTTAATTCACAGGCTATAAGGCTTATCTGTAATGAACCTATGTAATATTCCTGGTCTTTATATGTTAAACAGTTTTCAACTGTTAATTGGAAGGTTGGTATGGTAAAAAGAAGGGGGTAAAGATAATTTTGGGGAGAGCACAAAAGCTCATGTTATTTCCTTACACTGTAATGCTTCTCTAAGTCTGACAGTTTGATATGAGAGAAAAACCCTCATTGAGATTGAAAGTTTTATGTATTTTGCTTAATATTACTTTAGTAGGTTTTCCGCCTGGGGCTCTACATTCATTTGCAGCACTATGTAACTTCTGTTTATCCTAGTTTTATTAATTGTGAGGTAAGGACTGATTTGAAGACCTTTTGCCATAGGAAGAGGAGTAGAGGCTTAAGTTATCTTAACTATTATCTTTCCTTCTTGTGTTAATCTTTGACTGGGAGCCTGTTGCCTGGCAGAACAACATAGGCTTCTGAATACCAAGGACACCTCTTGATCTCCAATTTGGCAGCTTCTTTTTTTTTTTTTTTTTTTTTTTAGATGGAGTCTAGCTCTGTGGCCCAGGCTGGAGTGCAGTGGCGCAATCTCGGCTCACTGCAAGCTCCGCCTCCTGGGTTCAAGTGATTCTCCTGCCTCAGCCTCCTGAGCAGATGGAACTACAGGCACATGCCACCATACCTGGCTATTTTTTTTTTTTTTTTTAATATTTTTAGTAGAGACGGGGTTCACCATGTTAGCCAGGATGGTCTCGATCTCCTGACCTCATGATCCCCTCCACCTCGGCCTCCCAAAGTGCTGGGATTACAGGCGTGAGCCACCACGCCCGGCCCAATTTAGCAGCTTCTGTCTTCAATTAGTATTTCCTTCAGGTGGCATTTCTAAGTAGATTGCCCTTCTTTCCTCTGATACCAGTACTTTTTCATGTGGAAATGATATGCGGGGAAAAAAATCTGAGTTCATAATAAATTCAAGTTCTTTCTTCCATTCTCTATGGCTTGCTGTAAGTGCTATAGGAATAAAGTTTAGGATCATGTTCAAAGTTAGCTAGCAGGTGGGAGTTTTATTCTGAGACTTAAAAAAAACCCAACAGAATATTAGAGAAAGATTTCAGAGAACATCTTACAGGGTGAATGATTCTAGTTACAGTTTATTAGAATTCCTTTTTGTTTTTCCATATCTTTATGCCACTATATTTGGTCTGTATTAAACATTTCTAATCAGTTTTTTCTCTTTTTGTGTCATTATAACACATTATAAAATGTGATGCCTATAGATTTAATGAGTTAATCTCACTTGGTGAATATGAAAAGGCAGCTTGTTATGCAGCAAACAGTCCTAGAAGAATTCTTCGAAACATTGGCACAATGAATACATTTAAGGGTAAGCATTTCTCTCTGAACCTTATATATGTATGCAAATTTACTACTTTTTCTCTCATAAAATGAAAAAAGCATTAAACTGGGAGTCTAGAGGTCTAGGCCCCAGCCCTCTCTCTACCATTTACTCAGTTTGCTTAGCAGTAACATTAGGGGTTTGATTAGATTTTCTAAATTATATTATGAACGATTTTAAGTATATAGAAAAGTATGGAGAAACATTAACACCAACGTACTCACTGTCAAGATTTAATAAATGTTAATATTTTGTCAAATTTGCTCCACATTATTTTAAAACACAGCTTCCTTGTGGTAAATTGACATAATACAACAAATTGTACATATTAAAGTACACAATTTGGTAAGTTTTTTTTTTGTTTGTTTGTTTGTTTGTTTGTGAGACAGAGTTTCACTCTTACCGTCCAGGCTGGAGTGCAGTGTGCAATCTTGGCTCACTGCCACTTCTGCCTCCCGGGCTCAAGTGATTCTCCCGCCTCAGCCTCCTGAATAGCTGGGATTACAGGTGTGTGCCACCACAACCAGCTAAATGTTTTGTACTTTTAGTTGAGACAGGGTTTCACCACGTTGGCCAGTCTGGTCTCAAACTCCTGACCTTAGGCAATCTGCCCACTTTGGCCTCCCAAAGTACTGGGATTACAGGCATGAGCCATCGCGCCCGGCTCAATTTGATAACCTTTGACATATGCATACACCCATGAGATTATCACTCAAAAGTTCCCTCATGCCCCTCAGTATCCCTCTCTTCCCACTACTTCCTAGTTCTCTCATCCTTTTCTTGTCCTAAGTTATTTTACTTAGGATAATGGCGTTCAGTTTTATTTTATGGCTGAGTAGTGTTCGGTGGTGTGTGTGTGTGTGTTTCTGTGTGTGTATGTGTTTTCTTTATCCAGTCATCCCTTGATGGACACTTAGGTTGATTCTCTGACTTTGCTATTGTGAATAGTGCTATGATAAACATAACGAGTGCAGGTGTCTTTTTCATATAATGGTTTCTTTTCCTTTGGGTAGATACCCAGTAGTGGAATTGCTGGATTGAATGGTAGTTCTATTTTTAGCTCTTTGAGAAATTTCCATACTGTATTCCATAGAGATTGTACTAATTTACATTCCCACTAAAAATGTATAAGCATTCCCTTTTCTCCACATCCTCTCCAAATCTGTTGTTTTTTGACTTTTTATTAATAGCCATTCTGATTGGTGTAAGATGGTATGTCATTGTGGTTTTGTAGTTCCCTGCTTTGTAGATTTCTCTGCTTTGGGCAGTATGGCCATTTTAACAATTTAACTATTTTTTTTAACCCATTAAATAGCCCCACCTCCCCCACCCAACTCTCCTACTACCCTTCATAGCCTCTGGTAACCATCCATCTACTATGTTCATGAGTTCAATTGTTTTTATTTTTAACTCCACAAATAAATGAGAGCATGTGAGGTTTGTCTTTCAGTGCCTGGCTTATTTCACTTAACATAATGACCACCAGTTCCATCCATGTTGTTGCAAATGATAGGATCTCATTCTTTTTTATGACTAAATAGTACTCCATTGCCTATACGTACCACATTTTCTTTATCCATTTGTCTGTTGATGGACACTTAGGTTGCTTCCTAATCTTGGATATTGTGAATAGCGTTGCATTAATCATAAGATTGCTGGATCGTATGGTAGCCCAATTTTTCGCTTTTTGAGGAACCTCCAAACTGTTTTCCATAGTGGTTGTACTACTTTACATTTCCACCAACAGTGTACAGGGGTTCCCTTTGCTCCACATCGTTGCCAGCATTTCTTATTGCCTGACTCTTGGGTAAAAGCTGTTTTAACTGGGCTGAGGTGATATCTCACTGTAGTTTTGATTTGCATGTCTCTAATGATCAATGATGTGGAGCACCTTTTCATATGCCTGTTTGCCATTTGTATGTCTTCTTTTGAGAAATGTCTATTCAAATCTTTTGCCATTTATTTTACCCTTTTTTTAATTAAAAAAAAATTTTTTTTATTATACTTTAAGTTCTAGGGTACATGTGCACAATGTGCAGGTTTGTTACATATGTGTATATGTGCCATGTTGGTGTGCTGCACCCATTAACTCGTCATTTACATTAGGTATATCTCCTAATGCTATCCCTCCCCACTCCCCCGACCCCACAACAGTGATATTCCCCTTCCTGTGTCGAAGTGTTCTCGTTGTTCAATTCCCACCTATGAGTGAGAACATGCAGTGTTTGGTTTTTTTGTCCTTGCGATAGTTTGCTGAGAATGATGGTTTCCAGCTTCATCCATGTCCCTACAAAGGACATGAATTCATCTTTTTTTATGGCTGCATAGTATTCCGTGGTGTATATGTGCCACATTTTCTTAATCCAGTCTATCATTGATGAACATTTGGGTTGGTTCCAAGTCTTTGCTATTGTGAATAGTGCCGCAGTAAACATACTTGTGCATGTGTCTTTATAGCAGCACGATTTATAATCCTTTGGGTATATATCCAGTAGGATAGCTGGGTCAAATGGTATTTCTAGTTCTAGATCCTTGAGGAATCGCCACACTGTTTTCCACAATGGTTGACTAGTTTATAGTCCCACCAACAGTGTAAAAGTCTTCCTATTTCTCCACATCCTCTCCAGCACCTGTTGTTTCCTGACTTTTTAATGATCAAGTGTTTTGTTTTGTTTTTTTTTTTTGACAGAGTTTCTCTCTTGTTGCCCAGGCTGGAATGCAATGGCACGATCTCAGCTCACTGCAACCTCTGCCTCCCGGGTTCAAGTGGTTCTCCTACCTCAACCTCCCTAGTAACTGGGATTACAAGCATGCGCCACCACGCCTGGCTAATTTTGTATATTTAGTGGAGATGGGGTTTTACCATGTTGGTCAGGTTGGTCTCGAACTCCCAACCTTAGGTGATCCACCCACCTTGGCCTCCCAAAGTGCTGGGATTACAGGCATGAGCCACTGTGCCTGGCCATCTTTTGCCTATTTTTAATCAGATTATTAGATTTTTTTCCTATGGAATTGTTTGAGTCCCTTATGTATTCTGGTTATTAATTCCTTGTTAGATGGGTAGTTTGCACATATTTTCTCCCATTCTGTGGGTTGTCTCTTCACTTTGTTGATTGTATCCTTTCTGTGCAGAAGCGTTTTACCTTGATGTGATCCCATTTGTCCATTTTTTTTCTTCAATTGCCTGTGCTTGTGGAGTATTATGCCAGAAATTTTTACCCAGACCAATGTCCTAGAGAATTTCCCCAATGTTTTCTTGTAGTGGTTTCATAATTTGAGGTCTTATATTTAAATCTTTAATCCATTTTGATTTGATTGTTTTATATGACAAGAGATAGGGGCCTAGTTTCATTTTTCTGCATATGGATATTCAGTTTTCCTGCCACCATTTACTGAAAAGACTGTCTTTTCCCCAGTGTATGTTCTTGGCACGTTTGTCAAAAGTGAGTTCACTATAGGTGGGTGGATTTGTTTCTGGGTTCTCTATTCTGTTCCATTGGTCTGTGCATCTGTTTTTATTCCATTACCATGCTGTTTTGGTTACTATAGCTCTGTAGTATAATTTGAAGTTAGCTAATGTGATTCTTCCAGTTTTGTTCTTTTTGCTTAGGATGGTTTTTGGCTATTCTGGGTCTTTGTGGTTCCATATAATTTTGGGGGTTGTTTCTTCTATTTCTGCGAAGAACTTCATGGTATTTTGATAGGGATTGCATTAAATCTGTAGATTGCTTTGGGTAGTATAGATATTTTAACAGTACTGATTCTTCCAATCCATGAACATGGAATATCTTTCCATTTTTTGTGTGTCCTCTTCAATTTCTTTCATCAATGTTTTATAGTTTTAATTATAGATCTCTTTCAATGCTTTGGTTAATTCTAGGTATTTAATTTGTGGCTATGATAAGCAGGATTACTTTTTAAAATTTCCTTTTCAGATTGTTTGTTGTTGGCATATAGAAATGCAATGATTTTTATATGTTGATTTTGTATCTTTCAACTTTACTGAGTTTATCAGTTCTCATAGGTTTTTTTTTGGAGACAGAGTCTCACTCCATCACACAGGCTGAAATGCAGTGGTGCAATCTCAGCTCACTGCAACCTCCGCCTCCAGGTTCAAGTGATTCTCCTGCCTCAGCCTCCTGAGTCACTGGGACAATGGGCGCATACCACCAGGCCCAACTAATTTTTTTGTATTATTAGTAGAGACGGAGTTTAGCCATGTTGGCCAGTCTGGTCTTGAACTCCTGACCTCAAGTGATTGGCCTGCTGTGTCCTCCCAAAGTGTTGGGATTACATGCATTAGCCACCATGCTTGGCCTCTAATAGTTTTTTGGTGGAGTCTCTAGATTTTTTTCTTTCACTTTTTTTTCTTTTTTGAGATGAAGTCTTGCTCTTGTCCCCCAGGCTGGAGTGCAATGGTGCAATCTTAGCTCACTGCACCCTCCGCCTCCTGGGTTCCAGCAATTCACCTGCCTCAGCCTCCCGAGTAACTGGGATTACAGGCACCTGCCACCACGCCCAGCTAATTTTTGTATTTTTAGTAGAGACAGGGTTTCACCATGTTGGTCAGGCTGGTCTCAAACTCTTGACCTCAGGTGATTCACATGCCTTGGCCTTCCAAAGTGGTGAGATTACAGGCATGAGCCACCTTGCCTGGCTAGATTTTTTTTCAAATATAAGGTTATGTCATCAGAAAACAAAGATAATTTAACTTCTTCCTTTCCAATTTGGATGCCCTTTATTTCTTTTTCTTGTCTGATTGCTCTAAGTAGGACTTTCAGTACTATGTTGAATACCAGTGGTGAAAGTGGGCATCTTTGTTGTGTTCCAGATCTTACAGGAAGGGCTTTCAGTTTCCTCCCATTCAGTATGATTCTAGCTATGGTTCTGTCATATATGGCTTTTATTATGTTGAGATATATTCCTTCTATCCCCAGATATTTTTATGGGTTTTATCATGAAGGATGTTGAATTTTATTAAATGCTTT